TTTTATTGTTGCCGTATATACTTAAGAATACAGCTGGCGCTTTAATTATTCTCTGTATTATAATCTCTAACTCTCCCCACATTTCTTATCTCTCTCTCCCCTTTCTCTCTCGAATCTTACTTTGCTTTAGTTGTGTTATTTTTTCCCCTGGTTCAAGCGGCGTCGGTGGTGTAATGGTCAGCATAGTTGCCTTCCAAGCAGTTGATCCGGGTTCGATTCCCGGCCGACGCACATGTAGATTTTTTTATACTGCTCAAATTTTAGAATTTTTTACTTTTTCTAAAATTTGTAGACTAGCTTAACTATTTTTCCTTTTTGTCGAAAATTGTTTGATTTATATTTTAACTTAAAACAAAATTGTTCGCGTATAATGTGTTCTAATTTGTATCCCACTTACCAATTATGAATTTTAGTTCAACCACCTGGCACAAATAAATTTATGGAAATTGCTCAAATCATCGGGAATCAAAGAAGCATAACTTTTTTGGTCTTCATTTCCGCTGCAATTTGACGTTTTGCATTCGAAATGTGATTGAGCGGCCAAATCAAAAGTTGGTCGAAACACAAATTATCCATTAGACGGGACATCAGCGCGCTCATAATGGGCAGCTTGGCTATTATCAATTCAAGGCGATTAAACGTTTATCGAATGACACAACATGGCTGGTGGTCTCCCCACCACCCCGACATTCTATATCGCGTATATATCCCCGTTCTCAATCCCAATCGCGATCCCCAGCGCGCTGTCAATGCTGTCAACATAATTAACGGCAAATGTCTGCGGCCGACTGGCAGCCAAAGTCTCAGGGCCATGACAAGAAGTTATGCGACGGATTGTGAGGACGACGATGATGATTTCCACGATGATGGTCGGTGGCCCAACGCTCCCGTTGTAATTTCCCCGCATAATTACACGAAATATGTAAATGAGTGAAGGCGTCGCCAGCGCTTGACTTTGACTTTGGCTTCCGTCTTGGGTGTTCTGCACAATAAAAAAAATATGTGATAAGCTTAATGATCTATATATAATAACATAAAAGATAAAAGAGTAACAAATTTTTAAAATATTTTTATATAGTTTTACTAAAACAAATAAAATTTAATTACATTTTAAGACACTTGATTTCATAAATTTTGTTTTTATTTGTCTAACCAAAAAATGTATTAAAATGTATTTTCTTTGTCATTAAGGCAATTGGTTACTTATTAATAATTCCACAACCACATTTCCATAATTTTATATCATAGAAGCACACCTTATTTCTTTGCAAGTGCTATGTTCCAGGTCTTCCTAGCCTTCATTGTTTGATTATTTATATGAAAGGTGATGGTGATTACGCGCAATTAATGCATCAATGCAATGCTGCTGAATATTGAATATATTGAATACTAATGATGCGCACACACACTCCAGATAATTGCGGGCCATAAATTGCAAAGTCAGGGATGCGATAGATGCCGAAAGGAGCAAGATTCAATGACTCCTACTCGAGGGCAGCAAACTCCAAGTACTCCGCACCCAACTACTAGTTCGAATAGTGGCTGCTCGTCTAGTCGATGTCATTGGCTGCAGACACAGACATTCTCCAGACAGACATACCGCCCTGTGGCCATATCTCATTGTCATAACGGACAGTGCTGACAGTAAATAATCCATCAATAATTGCATCCTCCAGTTGGCCGTCGGGTTGGTTCGCCTCTCAGCTTCGAGTTTTTCCAGTTGGCTGTTGGTTGACTGGCCCTCGGCGATTTCCACTCTCGGCCATGGCCAATGCTTTATGTCAATTCTGCTGACATTAATCATGGCAGTTTTGATTGCCCGATGTCGCGTTCTGCTTAAAATTGCCCACCCAAGGGTTTGACAACTAGAAAAATCTCCTACTAACTCTCATTGGGTGTCCGGTGGAACTGGTTTCCTTGCTGGGGGATCTCATCTTGATTATCGTTGTCTATTCGTGGTGATTTGATTAGAGGCTGCAAGGAATCCTGGTTTTTAATAATCCAGTTTAGTAACCACTGGTAAACGTTTAAAAATTTAATTAATTTTTTAACGATTTCACCTCAGGAATATAATTTTATGATATCTAGAAAAGTTCGAAGTCATATTTAATATTTGGTTCTAGATTTTTTCTTACTACAAAGAAAAACACGTTAGTTGTGCACCTGTTGGTATAAATTATGTAGCCCCTGGTTTTCCAACTGAATTGAGATATACCCACAGAGACAACCGCTGAAGTGGTTCGTTTGTATTTGTTTATGTTAAATATTGGAGTGCATGTGGAAGCCACTAAAAGAGGAGAGTCGAGTGCCACTTGAAGCCATTTTCAGGTCAACTAATGGTGGCATTTCGGCAAGAGCAAAGGTAACAGGTAAATGGAATACGGAAGGAGTTAAGGAGTCAACGGGTAACAGAGGAGCGGCATATGCATCGTCGGCAACAACAGCAATAAGGCGAAGAACTTTTTACTGGAAAAGTGGATTTTCTTTTGCGCCATTTTGCGGCATTTTACGTTTCTTTGGCTCGGTTTGCTGCTGCTGCTTTCGCTTCTCCTTCAGCTTTCTTCTCCTCCTGGCAGTTTGTTTGTTTGCTTTTGGCTTTGGCTTTGGCGAGTTATTTACGTTTTGCTTCACACAGCAACTTAACCCATGCCCACCCCACTTCTACCCAGTGCCACTTCCACTTCCATATCCCCATCCAACCCACCGCCAAACCGCTCGACACAAAGTGGTGCTCGTGGCTGCGTCCAGGCGCAAAAGTGTTTGTAGCCTCCAGCAAGCTTATTTAGCCGCTCAAGAGCCTCAGCAGACGGTGGTTTCTTTGGGGGTCGGTGGAGGATTTCTTTGGGCGGTTCCTCGAGGGGAGCGAGGGGCAATCTGGGTCAGGGTTCAGACTCAAAGATTGTACCTGACATAGAAAAGTTAAGCGCCGGAGGGTCAAGTGAAGGAAGCGAAGGAAGTGAAAGGATGTGGCCCTGTCGATCTGCTAATTTTTGAAAGTAGTTTGCGGCTTGGGAAACCAAATCAAAGGGGCATATGAAAGTAACGAAATGGGCGAATAAAATGGTTCGCCTAACTCAAAGCATTATGGCATTTTGAATGAAGAAAGATGGAAAGACAAACCACATTATTCCCTTAATTTTTTAATGGGGCTTTGAATAAGAACCTTTCTATCTTTTTTTTGCTTGTTTTTATGAGTTTATTCATAAATAATGTTATGTAATAATATTTTTTTTTGTATCGCTGAGATTGTAATCCACACCTTTTGGCCACATATAGCGATGGCTTGGCAATACCCACATGCCAAAACTCAATCGAATGCCAAAACTCAATCCAAACACGGAACAATATTCAGTGACAACCGAACTACAACACCAGCAATCAAATCAGCCAATCAACTGTCGATTACTTAAGCCATTTTCAATCAACACGGCCAAAACCAAACCCGAAATGGGCTAGCACACACACACGCCCACGTAAGTATGTGGATGTAGATACAAAAGCCCGCAGATACAGATACAAATTCATCTGCACAGCCGGCGAATTACAAATCTCAAACGCACAATAAACGCAATTACACGGGTGCGAAAGAGAGAGAGAGGGCTGAAGTGAGTGAGTGGGATGGGGAGAGAGCGGACCACAGGCCACAATCACGTGGGCCAAAAGGAAATTGAAAGGCTGGGCGCCAAGGATTTATGCAATTTCGACCGAACAACTAACCATGGTTGGGATTCATCAATCAATCAGCAGTCAATACATATGGCCAAAATGATTGAAGTCAATTGCGAGAAAAACAGCATTTTAGATAAGTGGTAAGGGGGAAGGTAAATGCCAAGGGGAGCGATATAACCGTGGTTCCATTTCCAATCAGCAATAAATTATTTACACCAAAAGTAAACAGAACTTTGACAGTGGATGTCCAGGAATATTTAACTAAAAACAACAAAAATATCTTAAATTTAAATTTTATATAGTTTTTATTTTATCTTTTCTTTAACCAAGCGATATGCTGGAATAATCCTAATATCCTTACCTTTTCCTGTTTACACCCTTAGCCAATTTAATACTTTCACATTTATTTCAAACCTTTTCTATTCTGTACTGAAATATTTTCCGAATTTTACCCATTTGAATCAGAGAGAGTGGAAGGCAATTTTGACAGCTCCAACCAATTGGCTATCATTTTCTTCCCCACTCACAGACGATTGATACAAAAGTTTTGTTTTCATCAGATATTTACGCACACAGTCAGACACCCTTATACACACACACACCCACACACAATCAGGCAAACAAGCAAACACCCATAAATTTATATAGACAAAGTTCAATGCATAGCAAATATTGTATCTTATGAGTTTGTCTGGCAGATATCTTGCTTGTTGACAATGCATGAATAGGATAAATACTTGCAAATTGTTTGTAGTAAATAAATCAAAATGTATCTTAGCTTTTCTGGCTTATAATCTTTTAAAGGTGTTTTACTAATTCATAAAACTTTCAGGCTTGTATGGGCGGAAAACTTTTGTGTCAATTTGTCATCTGCGGTCGTCACAAATTGCAAGTAGCTTTGGTTAACACTTAAGATAAAACACTGTTCTTTGGAATTTTCCAGTAATTTCCAATACATAAATTCCTATTAGTAGTTAAAATAGTTAGTAGATAAAAAACATACCTTACCGGCCTGCCTCAATTATTTGTATATGTTTTGGTTTGCTATAAATGAATATATTCAGGCATAACTTCAAGGCCTGTTTCTTATCAGTTGCACTTAAAAAGCTTTCATTGTCAAACAGGTGTTTTAAAATTTTTAAAAATTGGTGGCCAACAATATCATTAAAACTGAAAAAGCTTTCGTTGTCAAAACAGGTGTTTTAAAATTTAAAAAAAATTAGTGGCCAACAATTTTATTAAGACACTAAAATGTGCTATGACAAACTGCTATTCGCCAGCCACTATTTTACTGTCGAAGCTTTTAGTCATGATTTGGTTCTGTGCGGAGTATGGTGTGGCAAAATTGGTGCCTTCAAGTGCTGATCGTCCTCCTGCTACTGAAATTCGTTTGCGCAGTACAGGAAACACCCAGAAAACACCGTTGGACCCCAAAGTTCGGAACCAAGAGGACACAGATACCACCACTGCTGATCAGTACGTGGAACTACACGGATGCCAATTTGCAGGCGTGGTGTGTTCTACAGCAAGGCTCTCAAAGGACTCGTCAGGCGGTGATTCAAGGATGCTTGGCCTGTCAAAGCAAGCGATGTGGTCGCCTTTTGGCCGGCGGATCAGGTCCAGACTCCGATGGACATTTAACCTTGGAGGCAGCCATCATGGATGGCAGCACTTTGCAATATGGTGCAGTGGCTGGAATGGAAGGAGTCCGGAACGCTATCCTTGTGGCAGATGCCTTGACACGATATACGAAACACACCCTGTTGGTGGGAAAAGGTGCGGAGAAGTTTGCCAAATCCATGGGATACAAAGAAGGTAACCCACCGAACAGGCGAACAACAAAGGCACTCCAATCGTGGTATTTGAATCGTTGTCAGCCGAATTTCTGGCGTGATGTGCATCCTTCTCCCACGAAAAACTGTGGTCCATATTCACCATTACCCCCACATTTGCTCAAGCAACCAATGCACCAGGAGTACTCCATTATTGGGGGTCACCACGATCAGCTGGCGTTCATGGCATTGGATGAGGAGGGTAAGATCCATGTGGCCAGCCACTCGAGTGGCACCCGATTTCGAATCCCCGGAAGAGCGGGCGATTCAGCGGTGCCAGGTGCTGGAATTTATGCAGATAACGAAGTCGGTGGTGCGTTGGCCTGTGGAGATGGAGATGTCCTGATGAGACACCTGCCCGCCTTTTTGGCTGTAGAATCAATGCGATCAGGAAAAAAACCGGCCCAGGCCGCCGAGTGGGTGATGCAACGCGTTTTAAGATACAATACCGAATTCAATGGTGCCATTGTTGTAGTTAATCGAAAAGGAATATACGGTGCAGCCTGTGCAGGACTCGATGAATTTAATTTTGTGGTAAGCGGGGGAAAAAGATATCTCAGCATGGCACGGGTTGAGGGAATCAAGTGTTTGGAAAGGGATGAAATTCAGGATGGCGGACCAAGGGGATTTTTTCAATCAATTCCCGAGAAAAAAATGGTGCCATGATCAGAAAGAAGAAATTTTTAGAAATTAAAGATGTCGCGTCTTAAAACTACTTTTAATGAATGACGTAAAACTCTTGAACTTATAATCGAAGTAAATGTACAATTTAAAATACACTTTAAGCTAGATTAATATCACTAAAATAATATTTCACACAAAAATACTTCAATATCCTTCGTTTTAAGTATTAACCATTAGCTTTAAGTCGATCCAACACCTGTTATGTCTAAAGTATATTACCTTAGATGTTTTTGCTTAACTTTTTTATTTACTTTTAAGCAGATTTACTTACATTTACAATCCGCGCACCAAAATATTGACCTACTCTCATTTTTGTTTGTATCATTTGGCTTTTTCTATTTACCATGGCTAAAAAGTTTTTACTCGCCCCAAATAAGCTCCCAATTTTGGTGTAACGATTTCATTTTTCCCGCTTTCTTACATTTGCATTCTCCTTCTCGCATTTTTATCCCCAATTCATCTGCTTTGCATATTTCTTTGTTATGTTTGTATTATTTTCGTTTCCTTTTCCATTTTGTGGTGTTCCCCGCCCTTTATGTTCTTGGATTTTGTAACGTAATCCCCTCGTGTTGGTTGTAACAGAAAATCTGTTGTAAATGTATGCAAATAAGTACAGCTGTGCTTTAATTTGGCCAACAAAGTTTGACCCTAACCTTAAAGTTATGCTGCAAAATGTTTAGCAGAAAATCAGTATTATTATGTTTAATTTATAGGTTTAATTTAAGTATAATGTTAGCCCGTATATAAATTTAGAAATAAGGAAGTTAAAGTCAATTGATAGCATTTAATTAAAAGCACAAATGTTTTACTCAGTCATATCTTTTCCACACACATGGCCAGTGTATCATAAAATAAATTGCCATAACTTACGCCAATCCAATCGATAAGTTTCAGATAACTGCGGGCAAAATAAATTATCAAATGACCGGTAACGGCCAATTGAGGAACCTTTCACAGGCTTAAAAACTCACAATACTTTCGATAAGAAAACGCCAAAAAATAAAAACAATGGAAATCAAAACGAATGGTAATAAATAATTGCTAATTAAAACATTATAATGAAGCCTATGACTCAAGCCAAATTAAATTTAAAAAACTTTACAGCACACTCGTTTTGTCAGGAATAAGCCAGATAAGATTTTTAAATGGCCAAGCAAACAAAATGAACATTCCGTGATATAAGTCCGGCAAGAAATACTAATCTATAGGAAAACATCTTGAAATTGCTTAGCACAACAAGTGCTGCATTGTAATTTCGTTATCAGTCTGTTGACTGATTATTGTGAATTTTCTCAAGTGTCGCAAAACAAACGTGAATTATTTTCGATTTTTTCCAAATTAGTTGCAGCTTAGTTTCAGTTCTGATCGGTCGACGAAAGGTGTTGGAGGTTCTCAAAAATGTTGCGCTCGGAATCGCTTTTTATTTCACTGGCTATTCTGTTGGCTGTCCAACAAATTTCAGCAGATATTTCTCCTGTAGTGAGGAATGCAGCCGATCCTCCAAAATGTTATAGCTGCGATGGCATTAATTGCTTGAGAACAACACGTCAAAATGCTACCGTCAGCTGTGCTGATAAACTGGATGTTTGCGTTACCATCTATGAAGATTGTGAGTTTTGGATATGGAATATAGTAAAATTTGTATATCATTATATATTCCTTTCAGTTGCTGTTAGTGAACGTGGCTGTTTGTCCCAGATTTCCTTGGCTGGACAGGCAAAATGTGCGGCCAAGGACAACCAATGTCAAAAGTGCAGTGGCCAATTGTGCAATAATCAAGGACGTAGGGATTTCAAATGTATTCAGTGCATTGGTTCTGAAGTAAGTAAATAAGTATTTCTACACCTTAAGTATATAAAAATATTTTTTTCTATTTTTTCCCCTTAGTCTTCTTCATGTAATAAAGGAGCCACCAAATCCCTTACCGCCTCCCAATGTGGACTTCCCACTTCGACCAATTCCTACTGCTATGTCAAAGTCGTCGGTGACCAAAAGGACAATCTGCAAAGAGGTTGTGCCCTCTCCGTAAAGGAGCAGCAATCCTGTCTGGAGGATTCACAGTGTTCCCTCTGCCTACCGGATAATGCCAGCGATTCCGTGGCTTGCAACAATTTTGATTTGGAATTGAGCTCAAAATCTGGTGCTGACCAAACTCAAAAGTTTGTTAGTTTGGGATTGGCCTTTATTGCCTTGCTCTCGCTGAAATTGCTTAATTAATTTTAAATAAACAATTATAAAATAAAGAATCATTTTCTCAACAGATGTTTTTGGTTTTTGAATCTTATCTGATCTTTTGATTGTTTCAATTTTTCCGTCAATTAATTAACACGTGATTCTTGGAATAACACCACAGTTCAATCACAGGGGGTTCTTTAGCCGACAGTTTTTTTAGAGGGCACTTCAAGTAGTTACATTAAGGGTAGAATTTATAAGAACACTTAAAATAATTAGGTAATATTAGGACATTTTTTTAAAGTTTAGAGCTTTTGAGTTTTAATAAAGAATTGGATAAAAACCAGACCTTTTTCAATGGTTAGTTATCTCAAGGTAGTGTTGTTTTAAAAACTTGATATTGGTTTTTAAAATATGTAATTATTTTTTAACGAATCTAGCTTACAGTTTCTACGAATATATCCTAAAGAAAGCTTTTTATTGCTTTACTTTAGATACAATGTCGTTTTTCATAATCTCAAGGTTTGGGGATCTTAAACTATCAAGTAGATGAGTAATTACTTTATCAACCGTTGTACATATTAGAGTGTCCTCTGCTGTCGGTTCTTCATAGAAGACTCTCAAGTGTTTGGCCATTTCCATGGACATTCACACACACAATCACACGTGCCGGCGTGACACACTGACAGAACTCGCTCTTGAGGACACTTCACTGGAGCATTTGAAGTGGACGGCGGTATAAAAGCCGATCGCAATGGCCAATTGCCCGACAGTCGAAGCCCCAAAATGAAGGCCCAAACAATTGCGAAGGTGGTGAGTGCGGTGGTGCTGGTAGCTCTGGTGGGTCATGTGGCCGGTAACACAATTATCAGCTGCCACAGCTGCGAAGGAGCCAATTGCCAAAGAGTTCAGTTGAACAAAACAACGTCCTGCGTGGATTCTTTGGACTATTGCGTCACCATTTATGATGAAGGTATGTGAAATAAGATATTCGATAAAATCTATTTGTTATTAATAATTCCAAAAAAATTCCAGCCAAGGTCTTGTTCAAGGGTTGCTCTCTGGAAATTCCCTATGAGTTGCGTTCAAAATGCGAGGACAATCGATCTTGCTACAAATGCAACACTAAAGAGTGCAACAATGTAGGATCCGCCAAATATTCGTGCATTCAGTGCGATTCCAGCAAGGTAAGTCAAAAAAGAACTTTATGCAAATAATATTATATCTAATAATTAAATTTTAAACCCCCAAAAAGGACTCCAACTGTGCTTCGAACGCCGCTACTTTGGAAGCCTCCCGCTGTACTGCACCCACTGCTCCAAACTCCTACTGCTATGTGAAATCCTCGGGTGGATCTATCGTCAGGGGATGCTCCACCACCGAAACCGATCAGCAGACCTGTCTGAATGACGCGAATTGCCTTTTGTGCTCCCCCGGCGATATCAGGAACTGTAATGCCGCCGACATTGCCGAAAGCTCGAGTATTGGAAATCGATTCATTCGTTTCTTAAGATAACTCTTTTGATGTATCTAAAAAACCAAATAAATTTGTAAATCAACTAATTAATAAACAAACAGAATAATTTATTCTAAACTGCTACAGAAACACTTACAAGGAATTTTTCCGGAAATAGTTTTGTTACTGAATACAGTTTTACGAAACATTAAAAGATTAATATACTTATAATAAAATACAACAACGTAGAAAGTTATCTGAATAGTATATGCACTTTTGTACGAGACCTTATAAAATAAATTACAATTAATTGTATATCATTGCCATTTAAAATAGCTAAGATACAAGCAGTTCAATAGCACAAACGATAATTTTATTTAAGTAGGATACAAAACTTGACATGGCCATGGTTAAAAAAAAAAAACAAATTAAGTTACCGATAACAAACCGGATTTCCTTTCGAAGTATTTATCGAAGGATTTTATATCTAACGATAATAGGACGTGTTATCAGGTCTGGGTTGAATCACCTACATTTTTTGTCGATTAACAGCAATAACCTTCAGGTGGACTCACTCAAAATAATCAAAATGATCCAATTCGTTGTCTAATCTAGCCATTTAACCGATTAATAGCAAAAAATTCCATTACCGTTGTAAACTTGTTTATTTACTTCTGACTAAGGAACTACTTAGAAAGCTGCCCCACAAGAACTTGGCCACTTGAATGCAATAGGGCTTAGGAAACCCCACAAAGACAACAGAATTGTTTATGTAATTTCTGAAGAGATGGAAGGCAATCACTTAACGAGTTTGCTTACACACTTCATTCAGCTATCTTTGTAGGAATATCAGAAATATCCTCTTGAGCGACTTGGCTTTATATAAAACGCCGGATTGCGATTGAAAGCCTTTCAATGCTAAATGTTCCTTCTCCAATGTCAAACTTAAGTTTTCCTCAACTTCTTCTGGCACTGCTGCTTTTTGCAAGCGGTTGTGTTTTGGGATCGGAAAAATGCATTTATTGTCGGGGAATAAATTGCCAAAGGAGTAGTTATGAAGCGGAAGAAGGATGCTCTGATCGATTGGATGCCTGTGTGAGTGTTTTTCAAGGTGGCATTATTCAGGCGCAAGGATGTCTGGAAAATCTGGAAGACGATTGGAGAGAAAAGTGCTTTAAAACTAATAAAGGAAATGGTATAGATTGCGAGATCTGTGTGACAGAAAAATGCAATAATTTGGGATCTAAACTAGCTAGCTGTCTTCAGTGCAACAATACCGTAGTGAGTATATAAAAACCCTTAAATTACACATGTTAAATACTTATTTCTTAAAGGACTCCGAGTGTGCCGAATCTCCTGGTCTTCTAAAAGCTGTACAATGTCCTATTGCCAGAACAGGCAGAAGTTTTTGCTATGCCAGTTTGGAGGGAGACGTTTTGGAAAGAGGATGCTCTCTGACCCTTGCAAATCAATTAAATTGCTTAGCGAATCCAAATTGCCATTTATGTGATCCCTTAGAGCAAGCCCACTGCAATGATATGATTGTTAAAGCAGATGATTCTCCAACCACTGAACTACCATCAGAATCCACAAGTTCATCCACTGAGTCAACGCCTAATTCAACAGTTACTACAGAACCAACATCAAGTTCTTCCACAACTTCTTCAACAAGCTCTTCATCAAGTTCTTCTACAACTTCTACAACAAGTTCTCCAACAAGTATTCCAACAAATTCACCAGAAACTACACAATCCACCACAGAACCCTCTACAACTGAAGAAATACCCACCACAACGAACAAACCCAATTCGGCTTTCGGATTCCATGTCTCATTTTTCCTGATCTTTGCTCAATTGGCACTTTTTATTACAACCCACTTAAGTAATGAAAACATAGTTTAAGCTCCGATTCCCACGACCTTCACCAAACCAAATCTTTGTATGAACGATTAAACGAATTTTTATGATACCACCATAAATAATTTGTAGTGATTATTGGCAATCTTTTGGTCTTTATGCTTGTCCCAAAGTTCGGTGCTGGACTTGTTATGTCAGTGAATTAAGATAGATAAGATTTAAGTCTATATAAAGCCAACGCATTGAACACAAATGTTTGACAAAATGTGAAATCATGATCTTTTATAAATCAGGTTCGATTTAAAGATTAACACACTGGTTTTTACTTGGCCAAGGTTGATCGAAATTCTTAACTTATCAGGTAATAACAAAGTAATAAATAATAAAAAATAATGCAATGAATTCATTAAAAGTTTATTTTTACTGTGATTGTTGAATCATTAATATGACTCTAAAAATTAAATTTTTGAGTTGGTAGTACGTATGCACCTATTTCATGACAATATTAAATAGCTCAAATATGCTGCAATAAAACTAAGCAATATACATTAAAAGATTATGTTCTTAGGAAAGCCTTTACCTTTATCTAGGGGTTTTCCAATCAAACTATGTATGTATATGATTTACAACCGCAATTTAATAAAGCGCCATCTAGATGACACGTTTTGCTATCGATTACCGAAATTGGTTATCGTTTATTGAAGCTTTAAGCCATTTCTGGTCTCGCAAAAAGTTAATCGAATGCAGTGATGATAAGAAACTAAGCGAAAGGCGTAGTGAATGCAATATTGGCAGGGCTTTGTCAACTTGATGGCCTCCATTTAGCCGCTTTTTATGATAGAGATCCTCTATCAGTCAATCGTATAGTGCGTCTGTCCCTTGGTGAAAAACCTTATCAGAATGTGTAAACGTTTTCACGACTCCGTTTTCGCCTGATTATGGTCGGCTTATCTGGATAGTTTTTATTGTTTTTTATGTTAATTCCCCTCAATCGGTTATAAATAACGAAGCTTTATCGGCCATAGAGCTATGGCAACAGCGCCTGCAATATAATCGCCTCGGTCCCCTAATATAGAGCAATAATCAAACAACAACGATAGGACCCATCGATCGATCGATTGCCTCAGCTTGTCGCCGGTTGAAAATCTATAAAAGCCCTCACTTCAGCCAGCTAAAAATTAGTTGCCCGAATCCATTTTTGTGGCTAATACGGAAATACGCGAGTCGCCATCCTGAAGTGGCCCTCAATCGATCATGAAATCAACGGCGGCAGGAGTAGCACTGCTACTTCTCGTGTTAAATCATTCAAGTGGTAGGTGTTTTGCCTAAAAAAAGGATAAAGGGTAATCCAAAGTGAAAGTGACTAACATTGAAAAACGAATAAGCAAAAAGAAAAGTATAATACGTGAGCAAATAAAAAGTAAAAGAAAGAAACCTATGAAAACTAAAAACGTTACATAAATGAAAAAGTGTAAAAAATCATGAGAAAAAAATAAAGAGCGAATGAAAATGACAAAAATCAATTAATTGAACTGATTAATTAGTTGTCAAAGTATATCCTTTTTCTAACATAAATCTCTGGAAAAATGAAACCGAATTGAAAGTTTTCGAAACGCAAAAGTTAATCCTCATAAAGTAAAACAATTTAACTACAAAATCAAACCAGTTCTCATATTCGAGTACAAAGAGTGAAAACGAGTATAGAATTAACTTGGGAAAATCCAATGAACAATATACAACAAAGAACATTAATAAGAAGATTGACCTATCTAATCTACCATAAGTATCGGCTAGTGTTATTCCCCATCAGACAATGAATTAAAGAAGTGTATGTCCGTCAATCGCAACGCCTTTAATGACTCATGTTTCGACATGGGCTATATTGAACCCTTATCTATTATCAATAAAACTACTTCATGATGAGACATAAGCGTGTAACTAACACTGATTACAAAAGGCGTAAAACGTTCAAAGTAAAATCATGATGAATCTATTCGTTAATCAAGTTGCGAAACACCTGCAATCTTAATCAGAATTTTCGAGTGACTTGAAAATCCAACCATTTTGATTTATTTGGATTTAGCAGAAAAAAAGATTATAACGGGGATTTGGACTTTGAGAGGCGGAAAAAGCACGTGTGTATAGTGAAATCAAATAAAATAATGAAAATCAAAAAAAAAGTTCAAGTCCAATTCATATACTTTCTTTTGGGATTAAAGCACTAAACTTTTTGGAATAACACTATGAAATCTTCATACTTTCTCTTTTTTCCTGGTTCAATATACAAGAACACGCTTTGTTAAAGATAAAGCGCGGTGATCGGCATTGAATTGGTCATTTTATGGTTGACCGCAAAGCAATTACTAATTTATTAGCTGATTACGCGGAAAAAGATCGCGCCGATGTGGTAACAGCAGCCATCGGACATCGCTGGCCATAAATAATGCGAAATTCGATTACCGGTCAATAAACAGTAAAACACGTAATATGCCGCGTGCTGCCAATATTTATGGGTTTATTAACGTATTTTCCAAGGGTTAATGCTTACTTTCAAGAGTTAAGGTCTAATCACATGTCTCGTGATTACATTTAAAGCCAGTTACTTTTATTTTTCGGATTGTAGCCCTAAACCTTGTAGAGTTATTTTGTGTGGTAGGATGCTCACCTACAAGGCCCACTGTATCTTAAAATAAAAATAATAAGAATAAGAGATAGAGACCAGAGATATATAATCATCCCTTTAGGTCCCATAGAATAAGATTAAGACCAAGTATTACCGCTCAAGAAATAAGAGAATGAAAGGCATTGAGTGCCTGGCGATTGAAAGGAGCGGTTGGTAAAATATATTAAAGTGATTTAAATAAAATACGACCTTGACATTCTTTAACATTTATTTTGTAGAAATTTAAGCATTTGCTCACACACTTTTATGCATTTTGGCATCGGAAATATTTTATTTTAAATCGAATTCTTTACAGATGCGTTTGTCCACAATTGGCATTCGGGTCCCATCAACTGTCACGAGTGTTCCGGCCTCGATGAATGCTCTGCGGGATCTGGAGCCTTAAGAAAATGCCTGGAAAACGAGGCCCAAAGCTGTGTGGCCATTTTCGATAACAGTGGCGCTGTAATTCAAAGGGGCTGCAGCGATAATTTGGAGTCAGTTTGCACAACGAGTGGGGACAATTGCTACGAGTGCCGATCGCACGGTTGTAATTCCCTGAAAACCAATGAAGATTTGCTTCAGTGCGTCGTTTGCGATGCCCAAAGCGATGACAATTGCGTTTTCGACATCGAACTTGTGACTGAGAGAAGGAGGTGCAACCAACAGTGTCTCACTGCACTTTATCCCACGAACAGCGAAGTGGGCGCTCCCTTGGAATTGGTTCGCAGTTGTTTGGACGATCTCGATTTGGATGATCGCGAGGCCTGCTCCGAAGGAACACTTGAAAATTGTGTAGCCTGCAGCTCGGCAAGTTGTAACACCGTGGATTTGGGAGTTCGAGGCAGTTGTAATTACTGCAAAGGAGACTGCAGCAGTCCGCAGTCGATAACCTGCAGAGCTGTTCCATCGGGAGGCAATGAGGAGAGTTGCTTCATCGAATTCGATGAGGCGGGAACCATCTACGAAATGGGTTGCCTAAGTCAATACAATGTTAGCGATGTTACCCTCTTAGAAACCAATAAGCAGCTATGGTACTGCACTGGTGACAATTGCAATGTGGAATCTGCTCTGGCCAAGCCAACAACTTGTAATCTGTGTAGCTCTCGTACTGATGAAGATTGTGCTGTGGCTCCTGAAAATGTGGCAACTAATACCACATGCGAGAGTCTTGTGAACTCCGATTGTTATTCGAGGATTCTGGATAATGGACACACAGAGAGGGGTTGTCTCACCAGTTTGGAGGGCGAGGATTACCTGGATTGTCTCAAGGATAGCAACTCCACCAAATGTGCGAGGTGCTCTGGAGAAACTTGCAATAAGGAGGTGGGTTTGTCTTTAATTATTATAAAGCACCTCTAAATTGTATTTAATTGATTTCTTTTTAATACCCTTTAATATCTTATTTTCAGCTCCAACCCACTGAACGTTTGAGTTGTCAAATCTGCGATTCCAGTGAGAGTTCAACCTGCGAGGGAGTTCCAAGTGCCTCAGCTCTTTGCCTTCTGCACACCGCCAATCAGCAGTGCATAACATCCATAGATCTCGCGGGAAATACCCAACGTGGATGCAGTGCCTCCGTGGAATGCGATTCTACAAATCCCAGGAAGTGTCAGACATGCACTGGGGAAAATTGCAACACCGTGAATCTGAAGAGGGTAGAAGATGGCCAGCCAGGATTGTGGGGTCAAGATTTGCCCCTAAGTTGCCAGAGTTGTGCGGATGCCACAAGTTGCGCCGCCACCGAACTTTCGAATGTAACCTGCACCAGTGAATCGGAATACTGTGTGACGGTATTCAATGCCGAGGGATCTGTGACCGCCAAGGGATGCAGCCAAGTGGTTGAGGAATCCTGGAGCACTTACTGTGATGCCAACGGAGGAAACTGCCACAACTGCAACTCGAATGGATGCAACTCGGCAAGATCGTTGGATGCCTACACCGAATGCATATACTGCGACTATGAAAACGAGGATTGTGCCACCAATGCTGCGAATGTCAAGTCCCGTCGCCTTTGCAATGGTCAATGTATGACCGCATCTCGCAGGAGATCCAGTGAAAGTATTGTTTACGACACGGTTCGAGGATGTTTGGATGACAAGGAACCGGAGGATCAGGCGATTTGCATTGCTGGAACCGATAACGATTGCAAAGCTTGCTCTGGAGCCAATTGCAATGTGGATAATCTCAATGAGAGCACTCTTTCTTGCTTTAAATGCTCTGGAGATGAATGTGCTGATCCGGACGCCAGTCTGTGTAGCCAATACAGTCCCGAGGATCAGTGTTATATCTACTTTGACTACGAGGCGGATATCAAGGCCATGGGCTGCCGTTCCGATTTGGATGAGGAGTTCGTGGATGATTACTTCCACTCGCTTTTGTTCTGCAACACCAGCAATTGCAACAACTTTGAAAATTTGCCAACTCCCAAGCAATGCATCGTTTGTGATTCATCCGAGGATCCCAACTGCGCCACGGATCCCTCGAAGATCACTCTGATTGGAAACTGTGGAGTCTTGCCTTACACCAGCTGCCAAACGCGCGTCAGAAGTGAGTTTTGTTATTTTATCTTGTGATATATTTTATTTTGAATTTTATCTTAAACTAATAATGATAATCTTTCAATGTTTCCCAGATGGTATCACCCAGCGAAGTTGTCTGAGCAGCTTGCCCCGCGAACAGTTGGAGGAGTGCCTCGCTGGCACCGGAACCTGTGAGGTTTGCACCGGCGATCGTTGCAATGCAGAGATATATCCCGCCGATCGTCGTCGCTGTCAGAGGTGTGATTCCGTATCCGATCCCACCTGTCAATCGAATCCCGATGCTGCGGAGGTGTGTCCTTATTACCTGGAGAACGAGGGATGCAGTGCCAAGTTGGTGGATGGAGAAACCTATCGCGGTTGCCAGCGGGAGTTCACCTGCGATGATTCGGACAAACAGCACTGCCGCTTGTGCTCCGGCAAGGATAACTGCAATGTGGCGGATCTGTATAACTCATTCATCGGATATCCCAAGAAGTGGTCCACTCCGCCAGTCAATTGCTATACTTGCAATGGCACCGAGTGCCAGGGATCGAGTTCGGGAACATTGCGCAAGTGTACAGGCAATGATGAGCAGAATTGCGCCACCGTTTTCGACGCCTCTGGCTTGGTGATCCATCGCGGTTGCTCCGATACTCTCTACGCAGATGCGGAGCTCCTCCAGTTCTGCGATGAAAACTCCAGCAATTGCAAGTTCTGTCAGTCGACGGGTTGTAATAACGCCACTTCATTGAATTCCTATGTTGACTGTCTGTACTGCGATGGTAGCGATCAGGCCGAATGTGTCCGAAAGGTGGGAGATATTACAAGGACTTTATCCTGCCAGGGCAGCTGCTTCACTGGTCTATACCCCCGCAACAAATCGGATACCAATCCTATTTACGATCTGTCCCGCGGTTGTTTGGATGAACTGGAGTACGATGATCGTGAGGCGTGTGCAGCTGGCACCTTGGAGAACTGTGCTTCCTGCTCGGGTGCCTCTTGCAACAAGGACGACGTGCCGGAGGATCGTCTGAGCTGTCTAGTCTGCCAGGACTCGGATTGCGAGACCACCGTCAGTGAACTTTGCTTGGGCTATCGGTCCGGGGAACAATGCTACATCCACGTGGGCGATAAGAGCATCGAGGCCATGGGTTGTGCCACCGATCTGGCAGATACTTTCCTCTTCACCAACCGCAGGGACTTGTATCTCTGCTCTGGCAACGATTGCAACACCAAGGATAAACTTAATTTGGAAGGCGTGTCCTGCAATATCTGTAATTCCACCTATGATGACGGCTGTGTGAGTGGCAGTTCATCTGAAGTGGCTGTTTGCCAGCACTACATTAACCCCGATTGTTATAGCTTTTTAAATGAGGGTAGGTATTAAATATAAAGGTTTTACTATTTAATATCAAAATTCTAATCTATTCTAATCTAATCCTTTCCAGATGGCGTTTTGCTGCGTGGTTGCCTTATGGACACGGATGACGAAGTCTTTGATGAATGCTCCAGTTCTAGCAGCACCAACTGCACCATTTGCAGCACGAACAATTGCAACAATGAGGTTTATCCCACCGATTGGCTGACTTGTCTACGTTGCGATTCCGCCAGTGATGCGGACTGTGCCCTGAATCCCTCCAGCTATTCCAGTTACTGTCGCACTTACTCAGAGGACGATGCCTGTGTGACTTCTTTGACCAACGGACGCACTCGTCGTGGCTGCCAATCGGAGTTAAATTGCGACGCATCTCAGGGTGGAAATTGCCGGATCTGCTCCGAAGCCAATTGCAATGATGTGGACCTGCAGTCGGGATATGTCGGTGAGCCAGGAAAGTGGACGGACCTCCCCTTAAGCTGTCACGTTTGTACGGATGCCGCCAGTTGTGCCGCCGTTGGAACGGAAACCACCAAGTGTGAGGGTAACAACAAGCAGACCTGTGCCACTGTCTTCAATTCCGAGGGTCAAGTGGTGGCCAGAGGATGCAGTGATGCGGTTCAGGCTGCCAATACGGACTACTGTGATTTGAACAAGGATAGATGCCTGCAGTGCAAGTCGGATGGTTGTAACAATGCCCTCTCCTTGGATGCCTATGTGGATTGCTACTTCTGCGATGCCGAGGACGATGAGAACTGTGCGTGGGAGAAGCCAGAGACAACAAGGAAGTGCCAGGGTCAGTGCATGGTGGGATTGTATCCTCGCAGCTCCTCTTGGGACTCGGCACTGCTGCCCACTCGCGGTTGTCTGGACGATCTGAACGAGGCGGAGCGAACTTCCTGCGCCGCAGGAACTCATTCCAACTGCACCGCCTGCACGGGATCCCTTTGCAATGGTGATGATGTCGTTGCGAACCCACAGGAGTGTTACGTCTGCAAGGATCCTGATTGCGAGGACCCCGCAACGGCTAAGTGTGTGGCTTACAGGGAGGAGGACCAATGCTACTTAGCTTACGATGATTCCAATGTGGTTGCCATGGGATGTGCCAGTGACTTTGAGACGCAGGTGATCCGGGAGCTGGTGGCCCAGCAGAGGTTACTCCTTTGCTCCGGACAGAGATGCAATGACTACAGCATTACACCAGATCCCGAGACCTGTTTGCAGTGCAGCTCCTTGGACGATCCTCGATGTGCCACCAATCCCAATCAGCTGCTTACCACGGCCATTTGCTCGCAGTTGCCCTACACGCAGTGTGTGACCCAGATCGATAGTCAGGGCAGCACCATTCGAGGATGCCTGTCCAGCTTGGGTGGCGGAGATTTCTACGAGTGTCTGACAGGCGATGGAGAGCTCTGCAACACCTGCACTGGCGATCGTTGCAATGGATTGAGCGTGTTCCCTGCAGATCGTAGGAAGTGCTACCAGTGCGACTCTTCCAGCAATGAAAATTGCGCTTCATCTCCGTCAAGTCTCACGAGCACAGTGTGTCCCGTTTACTCGAAGGACGAGTCCTGTGTGACCACCTTGCTGGATGGCGTCACCTACAGGGGTTGCAACTCCTCACTCACCTGCTCGAATCCCTCGGACTCGAGCACTTGCCGAATTTGCAGTGCCGCCGATGGCTGTAATACCGTCAACCTGGAAAGGATCTCAGAGGATGGCTTGCCTGGAGCTTGGCAGGATGTGCCCATTAGCTGTTTGACTTGCTCCGGCACTGATTGCGCTTCTGGAGGTGGCACCCTAACCAAGTGCACGGGATACGACAACTGTGTGACCGTCTTTGATGCATCCAGTTCAGTTACCCAAAGGGGTTGCTCAGAATCAGTGTTCGAGAGCAGCACTTACTGCGATGAGAACCCTGCCTCCTGTCCGCGCTGCAACTCGAATGGTTGCAACACCGCCGACTCCCAATCATCCTATGTCGAGTGCATCGTTTGCGATTCAAGTCAGAACTCCACCTGTGTCACTGATCCCACGCAGATCACAAAGACACGTCAGTGCAACGAGCGTTGTGTCTCGGCATTCCTGCCTTTGTTCGGAGAAACCGAGGACCCCAGTTATGCGCTGATCCGCAATTGTTACGATGACCTGGAGAAGGAGGATCGCGATGCCTGCACGGCTGGAAGCAAGAAATTCTGCGCCACCTGCGAGGGAGCCAAGTGCAATTCGGAGGACTTGGTGGCCAGTCGACAGAGCTGCTTGGTTTGCCAAGGCGACGAGTGCCAGAGTCCAAAGGCCAGCAGTTGTGGAAATTACAGGGAGAACGACGAGTGCTACATTCAGTTCGATGAGGAGAGGTCCATTTCATCCCTCGGCTGCTTGAGTGAGTTGAGCCACGAGGATATCTATCTGCTTAAGCGATCGAAGAGATTGCTGACCTGCAGTGATAACGATTGCAATACCATTGAATCCGTGCCGGAAAGTGAGAGTTGCACATTGTGTAGCTCGCGTACGGAAGCCAATTGTGCAATCAGTCCTTCGAGTGTGACTTCTGCTACCACTTGCGCCTTCGGTGGCTTCCCTGAGTGCTATTCCCGTGTTCTTTCCGATGGTAGCACCGAGCGAGGATGCCTCTCCAGCCTGGAGGATGACGAGTTCCTTTCGTGCTACAATGGTACTTCGAGCTCCTGCAGCTCCTGCCAAGGAAGCGGTTGCAACCAGCAGCTCTACCCCAGCGATCGACGATCCTGCCACGTTTGCAACTCCGAGACGGATGCCAATTGCGAGTCCAATCCCAGTAGCCTCACTGTTTGCTATCTGTACGAAGCAGATGACACGTGTGTGACCAATCTAAGGAACGGAGTGACCTACAGGAGCTGCTCCTCCTCGCTGAGCTGCGAGGCGAATGCCAAGACCTGTGTCCACTGCGAAGGCGATGGCTGCAATTCGGTTGATCTGGCTGCCAAGTCGGATGACAACATTGGCAAGTGGCAGGATCTGCCGTTGGAGTGTCTCACCTGCGAGGGCACCGGTTGCCAGGCGGAGGAGATTCCCGCGGTCAAGTGCCAGAACAACAACGAACAGGATTGTCTGACCGTTTTCGGAGCAGATGGCACGGTTACCCGTCGCGGTTGCCAGGATGAAGTCGAAGCTGATTCCGCCATCTCAACCTACTGCGGTTCCAATGCCGGCAGTTGCCCCTCTTGCAAATCCAACAGCTGCAACAATGCCACCGCTCTGAGTCAGTACAACACCTGCATCTATTGCGACTCCTACAAGGACTCCTCCTGTCTGTGGGATCCAACGAGCTCTACTCACAGGACTCGTCTGTGCCAGGGACAATGTATGACCGCTCTCTACGGAAGCAGCGATTCTGGATTGGATCTCATTCGAACTTGCTTGGATGACAAGGAGGCAGCGGATCAACTGATCTGCGCCAGTGGAAACGATACATCTTGCACCGCCTGCAGTGGAAATTCCTGCAATGTACAAGCTGTGCCGGAGGATCGCCTGAGTTGCTACACCTGCGAGGGCGACGATTGCGAGGATCCGCAGCCCAAGACTTGTGCCGTCTACAAACCGGAAGACAGTTGCTTCATCTGGATCAGCGAGGATAACGACTTGCAGCAACTTGGCTGCCTGAGTTCCTTCCGCAACCAGGATCTGGAGGCCATCATCAAGACGAAGCGGATATCTGTGTGCAACGGCACCAACTGCAATATTCCCCAGCTCCAGAGTCCGGTGGAATGTGCCGTCTGCGATTCCCGAGAGGATCCCACTTGCGCCACCGATGCTACTGCCATCGGCAATTTCGAGACCTGCAGCCAGTTGCCGCACACCGGATGTTACACCAAATTGGAGGACGGTGAGTTTAGCATGATAAACTTTTTCTGATTTTCAAATAATTTATGTTTAAAATTATGTTTCAGATGGTTCCACTAACCGTGGTTGCCTGTACAATCTTGGCCAGTCTGAATTCGCCGCCTGTCTTCTTGGAAACGATGCCAACTGCTCCGTGTGTTCCGTTGATGGATGCAATCGTGAGGTAAATATACCACAAAATACATTTTAATATACCCTAAATTCTATTTATTTGTATTTTACTTTTACAGATCTTCCCTGCTGATCGTCAAGTTTGCTACTCGTGTACTTCTGCCGATGATTCGAGCTGCGAATCGGATCCCACTTACACTTTGGCCTGTGCGGTGGTCAGTGATACGGAGACCTGCAAGACCCTCCTTACCGGAAATGTTACCACTCGTGGATGCAGCAGCCTTGTGGAATGTGACACTGATGACTTCCAGAACTGCCGCAGTTGCTCCGGCAGCGAGTGCAATGCCATCGATTTGGCCAATCGAGTCGATGATGGTCAGCATGGATTGTACCAGGATCTCCCCCTGAAGTGTCACACTTGCGTCGGCGAACATTGTTTGAGTTCCCTGGGGCCTGCTGTTACCTGTTCCCGGAATACCGAACAGGATTGTAAGACTGTCTTCGCCGCGGATGGAGTGACGGTGACGAGGAGAGGTTGTTCCGATGATGTGGATGACTACGAGGATCGCTATTGCCGCAAGAATCCCCAGTTGTGCTTCACCTGCAAGTCGAACGAATGTAACGACGCCTGGTCCACGGATGAGTATGTGAGCTGTACCTTCTGTAACTCTGCCAACAAGGAGTCCTGCGTCACTGATCCCACGGAATCTGGTTTAACTGAACGCAGTTGCAAGGGTCAATGTTTGGTGGCTCTGAATGGCGAGAACTTGATTCGATCCTGTTTGGATGACAAGGAACTGTACGATCGCCCCTCTTGCACCAACGATGAAAGTGGTACGAATTGTGCCAGTTGCTCTGGAGAGAACTGCAACACCTTCTCGTATCCCGCGGATCGATTGAGTTGCCACACCTGCGAGGATTCCTCTTGTTTGAGCAGCAAGTCCCAAGCTTGCTTGGCCTACAGGTCGGATGACTACTGTTTTGCCAAATATGCAGCTGATGGAGGACTTGAACTCCTGGGCTGTGCTAGTAGCCAGAATTCATCCAGCTTGGAGGAGTGGCAGGAGGCCAATCAGTTGTATTCCTGCACAGGAAGCGAGTGCAATGAACTGAGTCGATTGCCCAGCGAAGGCGAGTGTCTTTCGTGTGATTCCAGCAGATCCTTGGAGTGCGCCCAGGATCCCACGTCTGTGATTGGATCCATCTCCTGCCACGCCCCCAATTCCGATTGTATAACTCGTCTGGAGAATGGCCATACGATCCGTGGTTGCAAGAGTGCACTGAGCACCAGTGACAGCGACAGCTGCGTGGCCAATGGAACCTGTGCCGTGTGTTCCGGAGCCAAGTGCAACTCGGAGATCTTCCCCAACAACCGACGACGCTGCCACATTTGCAACTCTTCCGCAGATGAGAACTGTGCCAAGCAGCCAAATAGTTTGGCCATCTGTCCGATTTATGCCGCCAATGATGGATGTGTTACCTCTTACAACGATGGACTTTTGCGAAGAGGATGTGCCAGCGAATTGGAGTGCGAAATCGACAGCGAGGATCACTGCCAGAGGTGCTCCACGGATGGTTGCAATACGGCCGAGCTCACGGGCTCCGCAGGTGGACTTTCCGGAATCGGACTGGGTCTCACCATCGTCCTTGCCTGGCTGATCAGCTTCACTCAGCGGTTTTGAAGTTCCATTTCCTCCATCTAGTTAGGTAGATTTATATAAAGTATTCTTATGAAATTAGATTGATGTAATGAGGACGATCGCACGATCTATAAACGATTTGTAAATAAACCAAATGACAATCTTAAAACAATAATTCTTGAAGTTTTTACTTATAACTTTACTTTAAATATTTTTTTTAATTTTTGTATGGTTCACAGAAGAATATTTTCTTGAGTTATCCCTGTTAAAAATATATAAGTTTATCTAAAATTACGTTTTCTACAATTGGTTAGCATCCCCAGTTTCAAATGTTTTTTTTTAAGCAAATTCTTTGCCATTTTTCGAGTGTCTAAACCAAATATATATTTAAAATGTGAACACTTCCCGGTCTTTTTCCCTGTCCACACTTTGTTGGTCTGTTTTGGTAGAGTTAACGCCTGTCTAGCTCCGAACTCCTTCAGCTTCTACACCTTTTTCTCGCTGAGAGATGCCAGACAGATTTTCCCCTCTTTTCGAACCACTATTTCCACGTCAATTTTTCGCTCGAATAAAGTTGAAAAGTGAAATTGCCTCAACCCCCGGGAAACCAAAAAACAATGGGAGGGAAAAAAGTTGCCAAGAAATTGCAAAACGCAGTCATTGGAAATAAAATGCAAATGCAGAAGGCGATGCGTTGTGTGTTTCCTTGGTGGAGTTTAAAGCAAATTGAAATTTGCTCAGCATAACAAAGAAACGCAGAACTAATCCAGACTCGAGCTAAGAAATAGACTTTTGTCCTCTGAAAATTGCCATCAAGATTGGGATCCAATGAAAAGACAACTTTTTGTGGCGGAAAAAGTGGCCGCAAGTCCATTTGATTTGCTTTTAATTGTTGGCGATTTGGTCAGGCCAGCGATAAGCAATTGCTTTTTAGATTTATAGCAAGCAATTAAGTGGTTGACAACGATTTAATGGCAAATTACACAATAACCACAAGACATGTGGGCGACATTGAGGAGATTCGAAAAGGGAGCTCCAAATGGAGGAAGTCGTGAGTAATGCGAAATAAATGAACTTATTGATGGCTCAGTTGGACATTGTAAAGTATTTTTATTTTTTTTTTTTCTTAGAATTAGATTTAAAGACGTAGATATCTTCCTTCTTGTAAAATTTTTTAAGAGTTTTATGTGATCTTGGAGAATTCCAAAAATATATTTTGATAGTACCAAGTATGTAAGATTACCAATTAATATTCCTACAATTTTCTAATTTTTTTTTAACCAAAACGTATTGCGACTATCGTTTGAATTATCTCAGCTTCCAAATGTCTGTGATGAATTTATTGATTACACGTATACATCGATCACCTTGTAAAGTCCGGCAACCTGTTGTTTTTGTTGCTATCGCCTTGCAGCTGTCACAACAAACTGCCCGTTAACCCAAACTGCAAGTTGACCAATTTATTTCGCCGCGTTTATCACGTCGCCTAACTCGGTTTTCCCCTTTCCGCATTTTCCCCTTTACAACCAGCAACCAGCTTCGGTTTGCTGACAGCGACAGTCGCTTTTTAAATCTATTAGTTTGCCAACTGCCGGACAGCAATGAAACTACCAACAACCACAGCACGAAGCCAGTTTTCAGCTGCACAGCAAACAAAATTTAATAAACCGCTCGCCGGCTTCCAGGGCTTTGTGAGTTATGTGCCGCAAAATAAATTATTTTCGGTTTTGTCATTTGATTAAAATGTTTGAACCCCGGCCAATGGAAAATTAATTGCAGCCCTGTTTCTTTGTGGGCGGGAAGTGTCCATATTTGTCATTGAAAGAAATACAACGGAAATGTTGAATGATATTGAAAAACTATGGGTTGTAGAAAAAAACATAAAAAAGTAATTATTTTGAAAATTAGTATTAAATGATTCTTTCTCTTAATTAAAAGGAAACTTTTTTCCCCTTTTGATTTAAAGAAAAACTCAAGTTATTTCCGCACCACCTTGTTTCTCCCCCAACTGTTTCCTTAATTTTCACAAGAAGATTGCAGCATATGTGACAGAAATGGAGGAGAAGATACACAAAAGTAGACAGTGCAACATTCGGGAAACCCACTCGTCATCTTCAGCGTTTCTGGATGTCTGAGGTGCGTACGTGTCTTTCGCATTTTATTAAGTTTTGCTGGACTCGCATCGTGTCCAAAGGAAATTAAAGTATTTCAGGCGGCAAATTCAATTTTATTTTTGCATCAAAAAGGGAAAATCTTAAGGAAGAGTAAAATAATAAAGCTGGAGTAAGGAAATATAGGGGAGGGTGGTCCCATACCGACCCCCTAAAAGGCAAAGGCGATAAAGGTGAGAAAAATCAATTTTTCAGTTCAGTTCAAAAATGTACTATGTAGAGGGATCAGTTTACTATACATCTAAATGATTAGTAAGTGCGTAGGTGCTTTGAAGCGTTAGATATTCAGGCAAATATAAAACTCTACTTTTTGGTCGTACTCAAAAGTAGTGGTCCGAAACCGACCCCCTATTTCTTAACAGAAAAATTTAATAACATAAAATAGAATTTAATGATTTTGACGTTTATTAAGAAATATATTGAAGGTTCTTTCCAGAAAATAAAAATTAATGTATGAAATAAAGGGCACTGTAGTCAATTGATGAAGTCTGAGTTGTCCTCTTTCTCATAGTAAGTTTTCGCGTTGTTTTCGCGTTGTTTTTCGAGAGCCGCTCGTTGATGACTGTCTCTTCGCTTTCTTCTGATCTTTTTGCTGTTTCTGTTACTTTTCTTTACTGAATCTTGTTTACTTTTTCATATTTTCCCTCAAAAATACTCTATGACATATTAAGCTGCCAATAAATGGGGGTCGGTTTCGGACCATCACCTAGCGGTCGGTTTCGGACCACCACGACCTTTTCTGATTAAGTGCTCGGCATTAACTAAAGACGCAAAGAGCGATGTAATTCTAATTATGTGAGTGAAAGCTAGGACTATCAACGATCAGAAAAATTTACTCTCCGATTTTTATGCGGAGAAAAAAAACTTTGAGCTCAAGTTCAGTAAAGCTCAAAAATAAATGGCACAGGCGTTGAAACAAAACAAACGGAAAAATTGCAGTGAAACAAAATAAGTCAAAGTAACTATCTATCTCCAAAATGTCTGTGTTATAACAGCTTTTCACTGAAGTTACCGACAATTCGGCTAGCATCGCCATCTCTGAGAAACATGGGGGGGTCGGTATGGTACGACCGGTCGGTATGGGACCACCCTCCCCTACGTAATGATAAAAATACATTTTATTAAAAAGTATAAGAAAAACACAAATGAATAAGATTACGAAAAACTACAGAACTTACATAAAATCACATGATTAATGTTATTTTAATCCATAAAATACTTTTTAAATTGAAATAGAATTACTTCTTAGGCTTAAATAACTGGCAACTGGAAAAAACCAACATATGCCATTCAAAGCAAATCCAGACAATTAAATTTGTTCAGCCGCAACACAAATAGAGATAGATATTCATTCGCAAGCGAGATTATTGTTTTATGGAGCCACGGCATTATTTCAATTGAATTTTTATAAAATTAAGTTGATTGTGTTACAAAGAGAGAGAAACAGAGTGAAAATTTATATTCTATGTTGGTCTCTGGGCTTATGCGATATTTATTTATGGCCGCCAACTTGTTTGTTGTCCCTACGCCCTACTCCCTATATCCCTCCCCCAAATCCCCACTCCCTTCGGTTTTTCCGCGGAATCCCTAACAGCATTGGGCTTATATTTTATTTATTTTCCTACGGAAACAATTGAACAATTGATTCGCGTGCATACGAATTTGTTACAGGGATTTAAGTTGAATGATTTATGGTTACGTGGATTCGCTACAGTTTTTGTAACGTTTTTTCTAAGTGAGTTCATTTAAAAATGAAATTGTTGTGAATGGTTTCATTGAAATTCCAACATTTCTTTGGAACTATATTTTTAATACATCGCAGATTTTCTTATTCTCTTCCAACTTTTTCGCTCTGTTAACTTTTTGATATGAAACAAATCACGCATTCTTAGTTTTATCTAGCAAATGCCACCAATTTACATTGCATTTGGCAAACGTTTAACCATTTCTGGCGCATCGCGTCTAGTTGGCACCATTTGGTCAGCGCCAAAAAGGAACAAAGTTGAATAAAACCGAGAAGGACAGGCCACAATTTATAAAAACGATGCTTTAGATACCCCCGAAAACCAAATAAAACAATTTTCTCTGAACAAAATATATATACCAACCTTTAATAAGGCTTTAAAGATCTTTAGTGGTAATATTAGATCTCTAACTTTCTTTTTAATTTACACACATTTTAAATACAGAAAGGAAACCAATTACTAAAATAGTTATTTGCAAATTATAATATATTTTAATTCAGTTTTAATCCCAAAATACCCTTTGTTACCCTGTAAAAGATATGAAAAAATTGTTTAAATATATACAAATAAATTAAGCAATCACATGCAATAAAAACGGACTGAACGCAATGCGGAGTGGAATTTTGTGTGGCGCCGACCAGGGTTGCCAGGCGCCACAGCGACGGGGCCAACAACCCTGGCGCATCATCGTTTTCCATTAAATTCGTTTCCTTTGCTCCTCTTTTTTTGGCGAGAGTTAGATAAATGTAAATAGGAAATGGAATGCATGACTTGCGCTAAAGAAAATGTCTACATTTTTTGCCATTTTAGTTTTTTTTTACCAATGGTGACCCGGTCAGTGGTGCGGATATATAAGCAATGCTACAAAAAGATTTGGGAAGAGGTGTGAAAAATTGTGTTAGTTGGACAGGCGACCCCAGGGAGTCATTTTTTGCCGATTTGCTAAAGGCTTTAAGGTTAAGACTTGTCTTATTGTCACGTAAACTGTTCCAGCTTGAGTGAATTGTTTAACCTTTTGCCTTTCTCTCTCTAATAAAAGCCATTGCACCTGAGTGGAAGGACATGTAATGCATTCGGATTGCCGCTTAATTAACCAGCACGTACTCCTGACCTCCAACTGGTGTCAGCTGCTACAAATATTTGGCATGTGGCGCCACCTCTGCATTCCACTTAATTAGCATTTGCAGCAAAATTACCTATTTATGCACAGAAAAATAAAACTGAGCACTACCAGTTTATTTTCTGTCGAAATAATTAAGAATCATATTTAATAAATATGAATTTGAAATGCATTTCAAATAGCCAAATGTCAAATTTTATTCATCCAATTAACTTATATCTCTATAATGTATCAATAGATGGAAATTCAAGGGCAAGTTAAGTAATTTTCATTAAATCATTCATAAATGACAACTGTTGTATTTATTTATATTAAAGTTTATTTTTTTCTTATAGCGTAGTTGAAATTTAATGAAATGCAAAGCACGCGCCACTCTCAGTTTAGTTCAACCGTTTAGTTCCTAATTTATGTTGGTAAATGATAAAGTAAATGGCGAAAGCTTACATGGGGTCACATGTTTGGATTTCATTAGAACGATAATAGCTCCCAGGGACTTCAACTATCCACTAACTAAGTATGTATTTTTTGTTAAGTCGACGATTTATTGAACCTGCCGACTTATCAACGACAACATAACAGAGCCAAATAGAACAACCCTCGCAATGGGTAAGTTGGTCAAGGGAACCACCCCCAAAAAAAGGGAGATCCTGCAGTAAGTTAAGCGTAAACGATGCTGACACTGACACAGATACAAATACCAGGACTAAAACTAAGGGGGCGGAAGGATGAATTCTGGAAGGAGTTCCGTTGACTGGTGCCAATTTTCTGTTGATTACAACACTCGACTTTCTTTGACCCCGCACCTTTTGGGCCAACCTCCCATTCCAATCGCTTGACAAGGGTCAAGTGAAAGTTTTACGAACAACTAAGGCTAAACTGTTTGGCACCCTGGGCTCATCCTCTGTATACTGCTCTACTTTATTTATTTTTAAGTTTAATTTGTTTAGCTGTTGCCAAAGGGAACGGAAGGTGTGAAAACAGCAGCTAGGAAATTGTTCTAAGTGGGTTAGACAAGCAAACCTGATTTGTTTAAACCGAAACCGGATGGAAAAGTGTGAATCTGAGCCAAAGGAAATCGAACTACCTGTCAGTGACATTTTTCATAATAAATGGGGAAAACGAGAAAGCTGAGTGAAATAAGGGGTTAGTTTTCAAAGCCAGCTTATTGAAACTACAATTTGCTGTGATCATATTTAAAAATATTTATTGTTTTAAACGGTGTATTGAATTTAATGCAATTTATTCCATTAAATCAGGAACTTTTGCCCCTATAACTACCATGAACTTCGCTCCGCAATCAGCTTTGGCCTTACTGCGAGATATATCATTTCTTGCCAAAAATGTTCCACATAAGCCCAAAGCTCCGCACTAAATCTTCCACACACAGCAGTCTGAAAGTGTGGGGAGCCCGAGGAAATGGAGACAGACTACTGCCCCCATCAGGTTTTTGGCATCGCTGCCAAAATCATACATCAATTTTGGAACATTCGTCAGTGCCAGGCCACAAATGTGACATGGACCAGAGGCAGAGGTTTGCGTTCGCCACGCGGAATATTTCACCACATCCAAGGCCAGACGGAGGGGGGAAGTGGGGGCACATAGAGGTACATAGCTGCAACATTGTCAAAACAATTAATCATTGATGAAGAAAATGCGCATGGAACCAGCAAATGGCCGCTTGACTGCCTTATTTGTACCCAAATGTCAGGCACCAGACACCGGAGGACAGAACGTCAGCGCAGAGGCCGGCCTGTACAGTGAATTATGTGGGGAACAAGACCACAAATTAGACAAATTTTCGCATGATTATTTCAATTAGTTGTTGGACATGCAAATGAATTTCAAAAGGATCAACGCCTCGGGAGATTTGGAAGCAGGATAATCAAAATACCAGAGAATAAGCAAATTACCAGAGAATAAGCAATTTTCCAAAAGCAATCATTACCAATTTCAAATTAGTACACAAAATTATTAAATCAACAAGGCTTTGCATATATTGTCAGTACAGTTTGTGAGATTTAAGTCAATTTGATAAAGTTGCTTCCATAAAAATGGAAATTTATTTTGTTTTCTTTAATCTTCACTTAATTGCTTTAATTATTCTGGCCTACAAATTCGTGTTACTCCTTCACCATTTCGTTGAAATTACTTTTCCCTAAAACTTGGTTATTTTCTCATACGAGAACGTAAATATAATGTAACCCTTTTACTGGTCGTGTTGATGTTCGTAACGAATCGGTTCAATTAACTTGTGGTCAAACCGCAATGAATGAATGATGAATTATTAAAAACGCAGGTTAACGTATATGCAGATGCAATGATTTTGTTCATCATTTACGACCACAAACTGTGTCAATTATCAGTTGCTACTAATTTATTAAAGCTTGTGAAACTGGATATTGTTACCATACAGGTCGGCAGGTACATTTAATACTCTTTAAAAGTTAAATATAATTTTCTTAATTATTTAAGTATAAGGTTTCTTAAAATTCTTTACACAATGTTATGTCAACTATAATTAAATGTATTGAATTCTTATGATAAAATTAACTCCACCACTTTTTCAGATATGGTCCTGGTTCATCGATTTTCCATTGGTTTCGTGGCTCTTCCTGCAGCATTGAGTTGATCTGCAGATTTAATTAATTGCGGTTGGCACTTTTGTTCTTCGCTTATTTGTTTTATAAATTTGTATGTTAATGTGATTGAAAATGTACAGAATATTTTTTACACAAACGTATACACTTTTACGAAAAGTACTCTACTATAAAAAGTGATTTTTATAAATATTAAATATACAAACAATATTTTCGTATTGCCTGGGTAAATTTTTGCCAATCTCATTAATCTGTGCAGCTAATTAGAATATAAATTCTCACACAAGAACTCGTAAACCGGTTGAAGTTCCCATTGAAAAGTGGTATTTATAGATTATTGGCCATTTTGGGTCATTTTATTATTCAATTTTTACGCCATTTAAATACGTCAACAAACAAGATTTTATGGCACCGCTTTATTTATTTTCTTTATTTCTTCCATTTCGTGTAATAACGGGTCAGTTTTGATGCCTTGTTTACGACTCCATTCCAATAGAATTAATGAGTCGTTATAAGAGCATAAAATATGCAATCGATAGAAACGAGGGCAAGTTCCCAATCGCCAGCCAAAAATCTGAATCACCTGTCGCCAGCATACAAATTACTTTTCTTTTATTTATTTTGGTTTTTTTTTCCAACTCTGGGAATGCAAACGGCCGACGAATGAGGGTTACAAGAGCATTTAAAAATTTAATTTAATGTTCCCAGGCCTATTTCCATTCTCAAGTGCTTGGACCTCCTTGGGTTTTTATGTTTGCTATTCATGATGGTCAAACAAGCTCTTAAAGTGAATAAGCATGTAACGCCATTGGTTCCCATCTTTGGTCAATAGGAAGTCAACCAATAGATGTGGCTAATTGTTTTACTGGAAGCAGGTGAACTGACTTTTAGGACCGCAAATTATTTATGAACTATAAAATAAATGATTAGAGGCATGAGAAAAAGATTAGCTCAAAAAAATCTATTAAATAAAGCCTTTCATCGTTATAAGAAAAGATATTGCATTCCATAGCTTACAAATAAGATTTTTTATTTATTTCATAATTTTTTTGTAATGTAGAATTGTATGTGCCCTGTCTGGGATTGAATTACCCTGTAATTAATCCATTATGGGGCCTTGCGTGACAAGTATCCATTGCATGCCGCTCGAGAGTCGCATGCAAATTATTGCAAGTATGTTGAGCATGCCCAAAAAATCATTACACATTTTTAAGCTGTTTTTTTTTTTCTTTTCGTTTTTTGTTCAGTGCTCTCAACAAGTACAAGTCATAACCGGCGTTAGAGAAAAAATTGAATCGCGTGCTTAAGTTGCAAGCTGAAACTTGAGACTCTGGCTGTTGCATGTTCCGCTGAAAGTTTTTCTTTGCGTGAGTTTTGATGCGATTCTGGTGATTTCCCAGCCAAGGTGTGGAAACTCTTGATCAGATATTCGTGTCTACTTCTGTGGCCTTTCCTTGGCCCCTTCACCCATTCACAGTCCACTGGACAGACAAAAAAAATTGCAGAAAGGTTTCGTTTTCCTTTCGCGAATCCTTTGGGTTAACCGGAAAATGAGAGGTAGCTGTCTGAATGGCAGCAATGAAAAGCGAGTGTGGCGCGCAAATGGAATAACTAATTAAATTTTCAACTGCAAATGAACAGGAGAGCGGTATTCCAGGATAGTTCCCAGCTTCCTAGCCGGCTAACAGCCAGCTTAATTAACTTGGCAGATAAAATTTTATGGCAGTGGAGCAATGTGCATAGCAAAACATAATCTATTCGGTGTAATAGTCATTCATGGCCTGAATGGTTGAGTGGCTCAATGGTCGTCGTTGTCCTAATGGCTGTCTATGCAAATATGTTGCAATATCCTCTTCTATGCACCCCCAACCTCCACCAATTTTGTTATGGCGCTAGCTGCTTCAGGTTCTCAAAAATTTTACAGCTCTTGTTTTATTTTTTTTTTGGCAACACCTTTCCACGCCGCGCGCATAAATCAAAAGTGAAATTTTTACACGCACCCAGCTGTCTGTGAAAAATTTTCCATTTACATGTGCGCGTTATGTTTGGTCGGAAAACTGGGGGTCAGGTCATGTCAGCCAGCCAACGGCTGCCCAACAATTTTATAATTGTTTTTTGTGGTTCGCTAGAGGGAATTGAATATATTTAAAGCTACAAAATTAAGAGATACATCTCTGCCAACTCAAGAGCATTTCAAAATCCATCTACTAAATAAATAAAAGTCATCATCCTAGTTGGAACTATAAAATTATAATATTTGAATACAAATATTTTTTTTTGTGTGTCAATCTTAAAACCATTTATTGTATTTTTATAACCACTTATGCTAATGAGACGATATAATAAACGTTGTGTATGTGAACCCGAGTAAAGTGTACCTAAGTGTATGGAATCCGAGTTAAATACATTCAGTGGCGGATCCACGGGGGGGGTTTTCGGGTCCGGACCCCCCCCATGGGATCATATACTTTCAAATTTTATGCTTTTATTGGGCATGTTGGTGCAGTTGAAACACAAAGTTATTAATAAAAATTCGTAATTTTTTGAATGTTTTACACAAATTTTAATTTATTTTCGAATAATAAATCAAGAAAAAATATTATATATGATCCACAAACGGTTCTAGTCACTCTTAAATTTCCGAGGTTTTTTAAAAAACTTTCTGAGAATTTCGTCTTCAGTCAAAGTTATGCGATGATGAATGTTCAAAGATGCAAGACCATTGAGACGCTCTTGACCCATCGTGTTTCTCAGATAATCTTTCATTCTCCTCAAAGTCGAAAATGATCGTTCTGGAGTTGCTGTGGTAACGGGTACCACCGCCAAAACCCGTTGGGACAGTTTTAGATCAACCAAAACATATATTTCTAGCAATAGGCTTTGGGTCATATTCTTGGTTGAATCTAAATCGATTCCATTTAGCCAAGTTATTGACACTTTTCACCAAACTTTCTTTGTAATTTGTTAAATATATATTAACATTCATGATACCGGCAATAAAAACTTAGTTCCCGGCCCCGGATGCAGCCATATAAGCCCAAACCATGACATGGTCACCGCCGTGCCAATGCATTGCTTTTAACTTTTTAGTTTCCATCTTCGTATTGGAACATCTCCTCACTTAGCGTCTTCCAACCAACCCAAAATAATTAAAAATTGATTCGTCTGCTTAAATTTCGTCGTTCCAGAAATAAATCGGCCGAATTTCTAACACCATGGCGAACTTGACCCAAGGCATCATATTTGTATACTTTTGAATATATTTTTTCATGCAACTTGATCATTAAAGTTATGGTGGTGCAATATGTTCCGAACTGTATTTGGGTGAAATTTATTGACAATTTCGATCTCAATCTGCGCAGCAATTTTTGAAACCGATAGCTTGAGGTGTTCCTTAGTTTTCCGGACAAAACAGCGCTTCTCGAGATCGTTGAATATTTGGTTTGGTGCAACCCGGCTCTTTTTTGTAGCCCTTTCTTGATCTAGAACTGTCCCGATGGGATTAATACGCCAACACAGTCTCCAGACTTAAATTTTATTGAACAATTGTTGAAAATTTTGGACTTGGAGATTCGAAAAAGTGGATTTTCCAACGAAAATGACCTGAAGATTTCTTTACTGCAGAAGTGGGCTAAAATACCCGTTAAAACAACTAGAAAAATGTTGAAATCTTTATGAAATTAATTTAAAGCCCTTAACAAACGGATAGGAGCTAAAAAAAGTTTAAAAATTAAGAAATAGTTAAGTTATTGAACATTAAAGTGCTTGCACGAAATAAGCTTCGACGTCAGAAGTGCCTCGTTTTTTTATTATTATATGAAAAGTTGTTTTGTTTTTGTAGATTAGTAAATTTTTCTTTGTCATAATAGTTAATAAAGAGTTTCTTTAAATTACTGCGTTAAAATTTCCCCCCCCCTTAAAAAAATTTTGGACCCCCCCCTTATCAAAATCCTGGATCCGCCACTGAATACATTCAAGTGTAATATATTCAAACAACAGAATCCGGGGATAAGGAATCCGAGTATAAGGAATCCGATTGTGTATAAACATCTGGAATCCGAGTAACCCAGTAACGTTTGAACAAATTTGATTTGCGTTGGCCAGGACTTTTTTGACGCGCTCAAGGAAACATGACAATGGGAATCCAAAGAGAATTAGAATTCTCCACTCGTTTCCTTGAGGGACGTTTTCTTCCTGGCCATCTCTTAAATCTGAATCGGTACATGGACAGTTTTATGTTCTCCTCTCATTTCGCTGAATGTTCTTTTGGCAGTTGGAGCAACCGCAGTTCCGGGAACATCCGTTGGAGCAACAGCAACCCTTTCCATTTCCTTGCCAACAAGTGCATCTTATTCTGTCTTCACCATTGCCATCGGAGGACATCGACTTGGAGGCATTTTCAGAACCCCTTTTAAAGGACGAACCAATTTTTCCGTTCGGATACATGGCTAAAGTAATATGTAATCGAGAATTTACTTTTAAGCATTAGAGGTTGGCACATTTTAACTCACTAGTCCAACTAGATCGAAAAACACTTAACAATTTTGAACTTTTAACAACACCAAGGTTCGAAAAAGGAAATGTGAAAAAAACATAAAACTATCCCATTTAGGTCTAGTGTTTTGGGAGAGTGAAGGATAACTGAAAACTTTGGGTTTAGTAAACTATGAAAAGCATTTGACAGTTGTTTGTAGCCTACTAAATGTTTATATTACTTTGGTGTTCCATCTTTTTGTTATAAGTATTTAAATATACTTCAGTTTAATTTGAAATAATTTTAAGAGTTTATCTTCTTTGCCATTATTTGGTAATACGTGTTAAAATTAAGTATTTATATTATAGCACATTATATTCCAACGTTTGGAATTACGCCTAATATCTTTTAATTATTAATTTATTAAATATAATAACTCCCAGATTGCTCAAATTTTTTACCTAGGCTCTCCTGATTAATTGACTCGCTGTAATCACTTTCCATCTAGATAGAGCAGCCACGTTACAATGTTACTGGCAATCTGGTTTCATAATCGTTGCATATTCCCTCGATTTATCACTTGTCACCCCTCCTTTTCAACATTTTTTTTTGCCATATACCTGGCGGCCGTAATTGGCCGAGCATGAGCTTGGGTTGTTTAATGAGCGCTTAGTAGTTGGCAACATCTAATGTGCATATTACAATGCCAATTAACATATTTTGCCATCGTGTTTAACAGAGCCAATCTGCCAGAGTCAGGTTTGCAGGACCGGCAATCAGTCGCAGAGTCACTCTGTTGGTGGTCACGTTTCCCGGAGAGTGGGCCTTGCATAATTGCGTCGCCAAGTGCAGGTCCCTTCCTCAGGCTCGTAAATAACCCCACTCCCTCCCATTCAACATTCAACATAGATGTGCTCACACATGCAAGTTGTTCGGGCATTTTTTCTTTCTTTTTTTGTTCCACCGCGCGTATTTTCCGTATTTTTCATTCGGTTTTGTCTAGCCGGGCATTATGCAAATGGCACTTTGTTTTAACTGCGTGCACTGCGGTTGGGCGATGGATCTGGCCCTGCCTTTGATGGCTGCCCACCAGTGATGCTAACGATCTATTAAAATAAAAGTGAAAAAGTGCAAAATCAACATACAACACACGAAAGGAATTCCATTAAAAGCTGGTGGGCAATTACAGGGGTTCAGGCTTAAATTACAATACTTCAATGTATCGAAACGCATTACACATATAATAAAATTTGTATAGGAAAATGATAAAAATATTTGAGTTTTTGTAGGTTTTAAAAACAATATAGTACTTTTTTAAATCCCTTTTTAGGTTACTAGATTCAAAATATTTGTTACTTATTGGTATTCTTTTATATTGAAATACTTTCCAAATCTTTTTTACAAAAAATGAACACATCATCTCTGGTCTTTTGAGTCCAGTGAGCTGACATTAGTTTGTCATCATCATCATGTTGAAGTTCCCATCCCAAAACCCAAGCTGCATCTCCATGTAACTCCACTCGAACTGCATCTGCCTCCAACATTACGCGGACAATTAATATGCCAAGTGTTATGTGTGCGCATACTAATGACTCTTCCAACTCCCGACTCCAAAGAGCCCTCTTCCGTTTTTCCCATCTTTTTTTTTTGTAGGGCAGACCCTCGACCGTCCATCAATTGCCGGTCATCCAAATGGCGCAGGCGCAACGGCGCCGCCTCCACAGCCTTACAAGTTGTTTTTAATGATCCAGTGGGATGTGGCTACTTATACCCATGACCAATATGACTCACGACTGGGATGGACACGTGCGATTGCCACAAGTCGCCTGCATCGTTAATCTCTGACCGAAGGAAAGTCCAGACCGACAGTTTCATGTCTTTGGGGAGGTCATTTTCGCTTTTATGAAGTTTGCAGTTTGCTGTTTTTTTATTGCAGGAAAATGAAAGTGTGAATAGGGCAGAAATTAAATATTTCAACACGGCAATAAGTTCTTAAAATACATCTTAAGTTGGGAGATGTGTAAGAAACAAATGAAAACATGTTTTTAGTATTTATTAAACGTTATAAGTATTTCCGATATTTACATATATGTTCGTCTCTTAAAAAGTATTTATTTTATTTTTATTAAAAATCTCTAAAAATAACATTGGTTGAGAGAAATGTAAGGAACAACGTTTTCTTCAAAAAAAGGAAGCGTTCTTTAATGTTACTACATAAAATACAGTGTTTTAAAGACCTATATTTTTTTAATTACTTTTTTTAAGGATGAACCTCTTTTTATAATTTAGGGAAATACAAAATATTTTTCATTTTTCAGTTTACCAAAGCCTACTTTATATATGGTACATTTCGTGTAAAAACAAGACCGATGACTCGACCAAATTGGCAAAGCCAACCACGTAAACGGTGTAAATGTAAACAGTGCCACAAATTTATTGTTGTCACCGGCATTGTTTCTGTTGTTATTGTCAGCTGTTATAGCTGTCGACACACAAACGAAAAACCAGCTGGCCCACAAAATCGCCGAAAAGTAGCCCCAATAATATAAATCAAAAGAAAGTAAAATTACGATGCGTCGTCGAGCGATCGATTGGATAGAAACGAAGCAAAAAATTCATTTCAATAAGTATTGAAGCGAGAAAAAAACTTTCGCTACTTCAGTGGCGCAAAAAAAAAAGGCAACAAAAACCCTACTTTTGTGGATGAGTGGCTCCGATTTTGTTTTGTTTTGCCTGCCAGCCAACCGAGTGAAGTATCATGGTCAAGCGGTGGATAGTGTGGATGCCCTGAGGCGCCCACGCATGCGCAGAATACGAAATGCAAATAAAGGGGGAGTGCGCAGGTGCACAGAGAGAAAAACCTGGTTCAAACTTAATGTGCATTTTATTTTATTTTGCTTGAAACCAAGGTTGACAACAAAGTTTTAAAAGTAAATATATTTATGCTTCTTATAATATAAAGTGAATCAGTATGCTTTTTATCGCATTAAGGAAATGTTTATATTTAACACTGTAAAGATCCGGTCTCTCTATTTAATGAAAGTTCTTGCACTAAAAAGATAAATAAACATCTAACTTAATTTTTATATAATGTAAAGGGGATTATAATTTTTGAATTTACAATTTCAAAAATAGTGTGAAGAGTAAAACGTATCATAAAGTGTTCCATATTCATACCGCTCGAAATATGCATAGGTGAATAAATCAGCATTTCTTTCTGTGTGGATTGGATTGGCAAAGTGGACGTGCCACCGGCCAGAACAACTTTTTTTGGGTGAAATGCCGCTTTCAAATGCTGGCCAAGCGGCTGGCCGATCAGTTCGCCGAGAGCCACGCGAGTCGGTGGTGTCGCAGTGGAGAAAGCCGGAAAAAGTCCAAAGAAATGAGTCGACGAGCCTGGTTGTGTCTGCTGATCTGCCTGGCCTTAGCCTGTGGTCTTAATCTGGTTGCAGCTCAGGATCAGGAGATCTCCCAACAGGCAGCGAATCCCCTACTGAAACAATCCCAGAATACATTCATCCAATGGGTTCTCTCGCTTTTGCCACAACGTCCCGGAAGCTCGGATTCGGAAAATGCCACACTGGCAACCTTGAGCAGTAGTTCTATGATGCCGGAGGCCCTCCTCCACCACTTCGACCACCACACCGGCTCCATCGTCCAGCACCACAACAACTCGAAGGGCGACAACACCACCACCACCTACTTTGAATCCACCTAGAAATTGCAGCGAATGTCTCTGCGGAATTGCAAATATTCAGAAGAGAATCGTTGGAGGTCAGGAAACGGAGGTTCATCAGTATCCCTGGGTTGCCATGTTGCTCTACGGCGGAAGGTTCTATTGTGCCGCCTCCTTGCTAAACGACCAGTTCCTCTTAACCGCCTCGCATTGTGTCTATGGCTTCCGAAAAGAGAGAATCTCGGTGAGGTTACTCGAACACGACCGCAAGATGTCGCACATGCAGAAGATTGACCGCAAGGTGGCCGAGGTGATCACCCATCCGAAGTATAATGCCCGGAACTATGACAACGATATAGCCATCATCAAGTTGGATGAGCCGGTGGAGTTCAACGAGGTGCTCCATCCTGTCTGTATGCCAACTCCAGGCAGGAGTTTCAAGGGAGAAAATGGCATAGTCACCGGTTGGGGCGCACTCAAGGTTGGCGGACCCACATCAGATACACTTCAGGTAGGTGAACTTAGATGGTACACTTGGAAAAATTTTAAAAAAGTGTGATAATACCACAAAGTGATATAAATATGACAGAGAAAAAAATGGACTAGATACAGACTTCAAAAGTTTACACAACTCGGTGTTATGAACAAATAGCCCTTGAAATGATTTCAAATATATTTCATTAAAATCGAATATTAAACTCAAACACTGAAGGAAAATAATCCTAATATTTTCTGTATAAAGTATAGTTTTTTTTTTTTAAGTTCTTAAGGTTGACGAATTTTTAAAATCTTAATTCATATATATCAATATATTTTCCAAATATATTTATTTATTTAGGAGGTTCAAGTGCCCATTCTATCGCAGGATGAATGCCGAAAGAGTCGCTATGGAAACAAGATCACGGACAATATGTTGTGCGGAGGATACGACGAGGGCGGCAAGGACTCGTGTCAGGGCGATAGTGGAGGTCCTTTGCACATCGTGGCAAGTGGAACGCGAGAGCATCAAATCGCCGGCGTGGTTTCGTGGGGCGAGGGCTGTGCCAAGGCCGGTTATCCTGGTGTCTATGCCAGAGTGAATCGCTATGGAACCTGGATCAAGAACCTCACCAAACAGGCTTGCCTTTGCCAGCAGGAGACCAAGAAGATCAAGTAGCGACCATCTAGCTATTTCTGTATCTTTTAATAGTTAAATGCTCTTGCTGGGTTGGAAAGTTAGCATTGGGGATATTTGCAAATCTTGTGGGAACTATAAAAATTATCGTTTATTATAGATGCAACATTTATAATAATATTGATAGTTCATTGGGACTTTAAATCTTCCTTTTAATGTGATATTTCTCAAGGTCTTATTTCGATATAAAAAAATCTATTCAAATAAAAAATATTTATTTAACACAAGTTTCCCATAGGATTTGCTCTTATCATCCTTTCTTAATTTACAAAAGTTCAATAGCACAGTTTGAAAGACAAGTTTTCCTTGCATAAAGCTTGTTATTTCCTATAGTAAATCACTCATCCAATATCCCAAGAAACAAATTATTTTCTATGAAAACAACTTTGCATTTTCTAGGGATATTTGTTTCAAACCTTATATAGATTTCAGAGAACAATTTTCCTACTCCTGCAAGAGTATTTCAGCTTCGGCCTTGTCGAAGGTTCTATTCTCAAGCTGTTTTATATTTATTGATTAAAAGAAAAGTTTCCACAAAGTGCGCTAACCTTTCTCGGGAGCCGGTTTCCTCTGGGGATTCTGGTCTATCCAGTTCTTAAGTTGGTTGGGAGTTCTGGTTCATCAGTCTTCTTGGATGGAAGTGGCCAGGATTCATTTGGTTAGTTGCCAATTGCCAGTTGGCCAGGTTAGTTCACCATGTGTAATTTTTATCTACTGCTGATTGCTGCAATACCGCTGGGCGACTTGGTTTCTGCCACGCCCTCTTTGCGTACCGCCTCCGAGCCAGAGAAGATTTTGAGCTCCTTAGCCCAACTGAGGCAGAGTAGCTTTCTGGACTGGATTCAGTCCATTTTGGGCCCCGAGGTTCCAGCGGAATGGAGTTCCCCGGCAAAAAGGGAGTGCGCCGAGTGTTCCTGTGGCAATATAAATACCCGTCATCGCATCGTTGGCGGTCAGGAAACGGAGGTCCATGAGTATCCCTGGATGATAATGCTCATGTGGTTCGGTAACTTCTATTGTGGTGGATCTTTGGTTAACGATCAATACGCCTTGACTGCTGCCCATTGTGTTAATGGTTTTTATCATCGATTGATCACGGTTCGTTTATTGGAGCACAATCGTCAGGATAGCAATGTGAAGATCGTGGATAGAAGGGTGTCCAGGGTGCTCATCCATCCGAGTTACAGCACCAGGAACTTCGATAGTGACATTGCCTTGATTCGTTTCAATGAACCAGTTCGTCTTGGAGTAGATATGCATCCAGTTTGCCTACCCACTCCCAGTGAGAGTTACGCTGGTCAAATGGCAGTGGTTACAGGATGGGGAGCTCTGAGTGAAGGGGGACCCGTTTCGGATACCCTCCAGGAAGTGGAAGTACCCATCCTGAGCCAGGAGGAGTGTCGCAATAGCAACTACGGTGAGTCCAAGATCACCGACAACATGATCTGTGCCGGTTATGTGGAGCAGGGTGGCAAGGATTCCTGCCAGGGCGACAGTGGTGGTCCAATGCATGTCCTGGGATCTGGAGAAGCTTATCAACTAGCGGGCATTGTGTCCTGGGGCGAAGGATGTGCCAAACCAAATGCCCCTGGTGTTTACACACGAGTGAGCAACTTCAACGAGTGGATTGCGCAGAACACCAAGGATGCCTGCTCCTGTTCGCAGCCAGAAGATCCTGTACCCCCAGCAAACACCACCGAGCAAGGAGAACAGGAGAACACCACTGCAGATGGATCACCCGCAGCTGATCCTGAAGTTGAGGAGGCCAACAAGTTGATCTAAACTAATGTTTTACTATCACGAATTAAAAACCGATAATAAAGGCTTGTTGCCCCATAAATAACAAACCATAAAATCGTTCTTTTATTGATTGGCTAGCTTAAATTAATTTTTTTTATATTTTGTTTTTAAATAAATAAAATAATAATTTTGAACAGAAAAATTCTTTATGGTAGGGTATATTGTTTTAAAATTGTTCATTTTAACATTCAGAAAAACTTTCAGGCAAGCAAAAGACAAAACATAAAGCATTAATATATTTGAGTGTGATAAACTAATCTTTTACTTTTTAAGTTTATATCGATTTTAATGCGTCGTTATTTTATGGCAGAAATATAGGAACAGTTTAAAATAGTGCTTCAGAGATTATAAATAAATAAAATCTAATCGAAATCTCATGAAATATTCTGTAAAAATGCGGTTTAAAATAGGTGATCTAACCTTGATATATCTGAATAAAAAAACCATAGACTAATTTGCAGACCTCGCTAGGTTCACCTTTCGGTAAAGGATAATGAATGATTCGATCCCAGCGGTCACCACTTATACGCCGATTTCTCCAAGGTGTTTCACTGCACATCGCCTGCTTATTGTTCCAGTTTTCGGCTTGTTAGCTCCTCCACTCGCTCTCGCCTCAATTTCCGCCTGTAATCTGCTTGTTTTCAAGTCTGCCCTCGGGGAGTTGTGCAATTTCTGCTACACGAAATTGCCACTAAATCAAAAAATGCTCATGCAAACAGCTAAAACCGCAGACACCTACACTCGATTTCAGACGATTGGGGTTTGAGGGTTTGGGGCTTTTGGCCTGCTGTGCGTGCCTGTCCCATTGGGATTGGACCCAACCCAGGCCAAACTCAGAACATTGATAAATAACTAAATAATAGAATAAGCAGCTTGCAAAAGGTGCTAAAACTTTAAAGGCGGCTAAGAGTGAAAAATAGGATAGTGAATGGGGTACCCTGAGGGAATGAGTGAATACCCTCACTAAATTGTTATGAAATTGTACAACACAATTATACATTACAATCTAATATGCAATAATTTAGAGATGACTATAGTACATTCCTTATATATTATAAATATATTTTACAATATTTTATATATTTTACACTTCGACTTATTTCCTTAATTTTCAACTTATCTCGCTTTTTTAGGGACCTTTTCCAAGTGTATTAAAAAGGCAGCAGAAATTATATTCATCCTCGAGCGCAGTTTAAATTTGTGCGGCAAAATTGGCTTTTGTGGTAAAAATATTTATTTTTCTCATTGCTCGTCCCCTTCCACAATTTCCTTTTCGCCAGGCGCAAATTTGCTGCAATTGAGCAGAGTTCTGTTTTATATTTTTATTTTGGTTTCTGCACTTTTGTTTTGCCCAGCCGCAGGTTAGAAAATTTTATTGGGGCGTAAAATTGTTTGATTGAATATTAGCGAGCGGTGCCGCGTTTGAGTTTGCCATCGAACTCCGGTCCCGAAAAACTGAAAGCTGGCAGACAGTAATGGCATAATAAAACGTAAGGCGAAAAATATATTTGGAATTTCGATGCATAAACAAGTTGAACATTAATCAGAAAGCTAGTGGAGGTATATTGAAAGTAGCGAAAGAGACCGATCCTCAGGCGATTCCAGCTGCTTGGAGAGCGTTTCCCACAACATTAGTCAGACGCAAAACGCAAAGCAATAACGACACCAGGACTTTTTCGGTTAAAATAAGTGCCATATTTGCTATATTCGCTGCAGGCTTTTATAAATCCGTAGTAAATAATGGGAGGGGAAATTGGTTAGTGCATTTGCTCACCTCTATGAATGTTATCGTCAAACTGAGCGATTTTTGAGCCAAGATCACGCTGAGGCCAATGCAGGTGATCAGACCCATTATGGTGATCAGGGTCAAGGCTTCCACAAGACGCACGGCAACCGGCATTATCCCGATGGATTTCGCCTTCCACTCGCACCGATTTGGAATAAAAATTTGGATATATTTATTGAATTATTTTTGGGGCTATTTAAAAACGTTTGTCAGGCAAAATTTACATCATGAAACATAAATCTAAGCGTTACAAGAGATTTCATATACTTAATTTGAATATACTTCAATTCAATATTAAGTATGCAATATCTCAAACAAATTTGTAATATTTGTGCAAACATATTGCAGCTTTGCATTTTCAATTATATTAAAATTGTAGCTATTAAAACTAATATTATTCTTCTTTACGATCCTATTAAGATATCTATTTTATTACAGCTCTCATAAGCCGCTATACAAATTATAGTTTTTCAATCATTTACTTTTTTTTATTTTGCACGCGACATTTTCCAATTACGCTATGCAAATGCAATTTGTCTGGACTGCGTGCAATTTAGGTTCTCACATAAAGCCCTGCCCCGCCCCCTTTTTATTGGAGGAGCCCCTGTGATGGGCGCTGTGTTGTCTGGACTGGCATAGATTGCTTTGAATTATGGCACTAAATGGCTAGACATGTTACATAATTCATTTAGTCGGCACGGGGACAAATTCCATGATATGGAACATCTGTCTCGCTCCATTTTTCAATACTTCCCCCACCGAACAATGGAGCACTGGATTTATTTATTATTCCACTAGTCTATATTGCGATATGGCGAATTCAATTAGCGGCAACTGGGACAAAAAATTAATTGATTTCCATGTGCACATTTTAAACTCAATTGTATTGACTCTCCGCGTAAGTTGGTTTTTATGAAAATATTTTCCTGCTGTCTAGCGAATTTTCCTGTTCGTTTTTCCAGCTTCACAAGAGGATCTAAGAATAAATATTTGCACACGTTGTCTGGGTAGACAGACAGAATAAGCGAAAAGTTCTGTCGCAAATCCTTGGCAAAGACAGCGCCTCAAGGGGAGCCTTCGAAAAGGCAAAGACGAAATTAAAATAAAATATAGCTACTTGTTGTAAGGGTCGGCTTAGGATTTATGACAATCATACACAGTATCGTATTTGCGTTTTATTGTGTTATCAAAAGTAAGAAATCTGCTATTAAAATTGCCTGCAAAAAACAACCGAAAAGGATACACATGATATAAGCAAGAATATTCATCCAATAAAAATGATTTTAAATAAGCTAAGAAACCAACAAGCAGATATGAAAATTCATTAAAAAATTTATTTGAAAACTTTAAAGCTAGTGAAGCAAAAAAAAGAAAGAAATAAAAACTGAGGACCGGAAAGGCCACCTGTTATTTGAATACAGTGTATCAAAAACACGTTCTCTGTAAAATTGAGTGCATGCCACCAATTCCATTCAATGGAAAAAAATTGTCGTCAGCTTGCCAGGAAGTTCAATCGCATTTAAACGCTTCAGTAAATCATTTTTACATTGCCAGAGAAGTTTAAATATTAAGGCTTCTGGTCAAAGTTTTTAACTTTAAAGCTTTTTGAATATTTTTTTTTATATTCAATGCCATTCTCTTTCGCTTTTACCAGATAGCATTAAAATAATTTCTTATTCAGCTAACGAAAATTGTTCCGAAGGCTCATTATGATTCCCAACGAGAACCGAACAACGATTTTTCCAATGTCCTTCGACTGGAATTTTACCAACTGCCCTCCCTTTCTATTAGCCCATCCATCGCGTCTGGCCCATTGTAAGTCTTTGTATCTGTCTCTGTTGTTTTTATTCCTTTGATTTCATTATTATTTTTATTGCTTCGGACTTTTTTCTGTGTCCAACTGACTGAATTCGAGGCTTCGAGCCAAAGCAAAAGGCGCATTTTAATTTTATTATTTCTGTTTGGTTTCGTTTCGTGCCCGCGCCCCTCAAACAAAAAATTCTATGGCATTCCCATAAAAAAGGGTATTCAAGCCAGGGCATTCACTGATTGTGAACATTTTTTCTATGGCTTGTTTTAGTTTCCTTTTTTTTTCTGCGTTTTTGGCACATTTTCAAGGCAGCCATAGACACACGCCCCACTTGCCACATTTTTTATACAATTTCTGTTTTTGTTTCCATTTTTTCTATGCTCTCTTTGCATTCTTGGCCCTCTTATTAAGAATTAATAATCTTTTTTTCTGCCATAAGCTTGCTACAAATTTGGCATTTTATACTTTTTACGATTTCTTTTCGCATGCAGGAGTTGGAGAGGAGGGGCACTAGAGGTCTCCCCGCTCATGAATCATTGTTATGCCGGCTATAATTTTGTTTTAATAGCATTTTCGGTGACATTTATGCTGTCAACGCGTCATCCAATTTTATTAATGTCCAAATGAGGCTCGCTATATGTGATACGACTGTATGATATCATTATAAAAAGATTTAATGTCTCTGCGCGTCTTTGCTCTAAATTAAGTTATGGCCTTATGATTGTAATTGAAGTGGAATGGGAACCTCGCTAGATCTCTTTAACTTTATTAAAAAAAAAAATATGAATACAAACTTAAACTTATAATTCTCAATATCCAAAGTGAGTTTAAATTAAAAAATCTACACCATGCGGTTGATGAATTTATTTTTGTGTTTTCTACAAGAGCTGATTCCCCATTAAAACATTTAGCTTCAAATTTTTGGCAACATTCTTCTTAAATAATTATGAGAGACACCCTTTAAGCCCTTTCATATTTTTTTGACACACTAAAAAGCTTTTCATTCACTTTTAACTACTTATATATATCACAAGTTAAGTCTTGTTTACACCCACTTAAAGCCTTACTGGTTATTATTACCCGTTTTTCTTTTCTCATTTTCCATTTGCAGAGCGCGGTGTAGAACCTCCGTTTTAATGAGTCCCCGCAAGGCAAACTGCAGAGCGAACCTAATCATCTCTGGCTCACTTAAGTAATAAAGCAATTTACCGCCTTTCAATATCCCTTAACCATTTTTTATCTTTTTATCCGTTGTGGGCCTGGAAACGTAGTGCCTGGTTGCCTCCTATCCTGGAAATTATCCCCTTAGGGTGGTTAACTCCCACACAAATTATTTTCCCGCTGGTTTCCACTTTGTCGTTACTTCTGGTTCATCTTCTCCCCCGATTTCACCCATTTTATTGTTGGCCAAAGGAGGCTAGTCGCAGCTTTGGACTTGTCGCCTCACGTTGCCGGCTTTTATATCCCAGGAGGAGTCGATGGAGGATGGAGCCAGAGCCAAAGCTAAAGGATCAGGAGTCGGAGTTGGAGGTGCTGCAGATTGGTCAGACGCCTGCGGTGTTTCCATACCCGTTTGATTTTATCGCCGGATTGGCAGAAGAAGGCAGCCAGAAGAGTAGAGACTTTGTCCTGCTTCTGGTTCTTGTGTGTAATGATTTTATTACACGATTTTCTATCGAATTTTATTACCTTGGTGCATGACGTTGCGCTAGGATTGCGGCATGTCCTTTATGCCCTTTTAGCCCTTGCGGCCATCGAAATGGAATTTACGCACTCATAAAATTTAGCCCCCATTGAATTGTGTGGGAATATTTCGAATGGCCAAGTAGCGGCGAGCAGCTTCCTTTCTCTTTGGCCATCATAATTCAATATCATAAAACGTTTATCCAATTAATTTCTTTGGCCAATATTTATGATCGCTTCGTGCTGGCACTACCATCGATATTTACATAGATATAGCATGCATGTTGGACCTTATAAATTGCTTACATATTTATATTTGGCATAGTTTTGCGTACGAGTTGGTTATAAAATGTTCACAGATCAGTATGTGTGAATATTGACAGAAATGGGTTTTTATTGGTTAGCAATAAATTAATGGGTGAGAAGTTTATGGCGTTTCGTGAATGTTAGAAATTAAAACAGATGATCAATAAATATGGGAAAAAAGTACTTTGGTAGAGTCTTTTTTTTAAACAGAACTACCTTATGTGATTAGCATTTTTGTTTATAACTATTAATTGGCTCATGTTTCCACATCAAACACATGTAGGTTACTATCCATAACAACAAGCTGTCATTCATCCATTGGATTGATTAGCCAATTGCTGGTTTGTGATCTACATTGATCTTGAAAATCTATCCAGCAAATGTACAAAGGCACGCTTCAATGAATTTGAATTCCGCCCTCCACAACCGCTTATCCAGCTGACCTAATCGAGTTAGATTTCCAATTACGATTATGTGGCTGGCACTTTTGCTAATGAGCCAACCATGCCCCCTTGATTTTACTGCCCAAATGCCGTGAATGTATTACTGTTTGGCTTTTATTTTTCTACGGTAGCTTTATCTTGTTTTTCCGTTGCGATGGTTTCAATGTCAATGCCATGTTGGCCATGATGTTGCATGCAATGTTTCCAATGGCTGCATGCCAAAACTAATGGGCTTCCCCACGATGACGATGATTTTGCCGGTTTGCTCACCCAAAGCCAGCTAGATACCATACGTGGCTAAATTCCAAACAGCAGATTTTTGCATTCATATGTGGGTCGTGTTCGCTTGTAGTCAAAATTATGGCATCGTTTTCCATATTTTCATTTCCACTTTTGGATTTGGCAATGCATTATTTTATGGCTGGGAGGAGGCGAAGAGTTCAGGGTTCAAACAAAGCTCTCATTAAATGTTTGTAATGGGTGTGAGAATTATTTTATAATGGTTTATTGTTGTGGGTTAAACTAGATGGGTTACTGCTTCCTCTTCGCATTTGTTTATAGAGCAAGATTTGTTTGGCCTCGGTTGTGCACTTAAAAATATTTTATTGATATTACTTTTTCAGGTGGAAAAAAATTTAAAGGTAAAAAAAGCAGTCAATCCAATTAAAATCTCCTAATAAAATCTTATTAAAAATATAAAATCTTTATATATAATTAGCTTTTTTGTTGATTATTTTTAAGTTTCTGTTTCAACATGTAGATCTCTAACTTTTTTATGCTTTCCTGTTTTATTTGAAATTTGAAACTCTTTAGGCAATGTTTATGCTTATATTATTTTTCAGTGTACCATTTGCCAATTCGCTCAGAATCCGGCAATGTCAGTGTTGCCTCAAAATGAAAAACTCATTAAGTGACATGCATACGTGCGGGAAATAGATTTAGCTTTGGATTCCGAACACCGCTAGTGGATATAGCCCGACATCGGTGCTCAGTGCTCTCCGCTCTGGGATTTGAGTTTTTTAACTCTCGATCTCCGCCCTCGTCGGGCGGCCAATGACGTCAGATGAGCGAGCTTCTGAACCGCATCAGATATCTGAATATGTACCTAACCAGCCACCTACCTACCTACCCATCTAACCGTCTATCTATGTATCTTTGTATCTGGCCAGTTCATAGTTAAATGATTCTGTTTGCCATTCAGATACTTACGCTGAGCTTCAGTTTTCGTGCGAACGCCGAGGCGGGCAAATGTGCGCAGTCAAAGATCGAAAGGACCTTAAGATGGGGCTCAGACTTTTATGTCTCACTGTGCTCACCTTCCAACTGGCGGAGGCTGTAATCGAACACAGATCCTTGGAGGAGGCTCGTCTGGAGCGCCAGAGATTGGTGCACCGGTACATAAAGGTCCTGAACAAGGAAGAGGGAGCCATTCGACTCGTTGGTGGAGATTATGAATACGAAGGTGAGAAAGAAAATAATGGAATATACATGCTATAATACAAACAATATGATTTTAGTAGGTTCTTATAAAAAATGTTCTATTGTATCCTAAAATTTTATTTAGGACTAATTTTTTTTTGTTCATAATTATTTAGATAGTTTAATGGTAGCGATGGATATTTCAATAATTGAAACAAACATTTTCGATTTGTCGTCCATTAATATTATACTTTTTAAATTGTATGGGAATATATCGTTAAAATGATCTATTTAAGTTTTATTAAAAAATGCTATAAAATCTTTATTTTAACCATGTTTGAAAAAGTTCAAACGTTTTAATAAAATTTTCCGGTATTCTCTAGGAAACATTGAGGTCTTACACAACGGAAAATGGGGAGCAGTTTGCGATGATGAGTGGGACTCCGCCGAAGGTCACATTGTGTGCCGGCAACTTGGATTTCCCGGCATGCGGAAGTACACAAGAAGTGGCTTTTTTGGACCTGCCCGTCGTCGATTCTGGATGGACAACCTCTTCTGCGAAGGTCACGAACAGGAATTGGTGGACTGTCATTTTGAAGGATGGGGCGAAAACGATTGTGAACCCGGGGAAGCAGCTGGAGTGGTTTGTTATCCCCCAGAAAATTCCCTGATTCCTGCACCATCTCCCATCCTCCGAGATGAAGACCTCCCCAAGTACCCGATTCGATCCCATTCCCGATTATATGTGAGATTGCGAGGCGGAAGATCGCGAATCGAGGGAAGAGTGGAAGTCAGTTTGGATGGCGGTCGATGGGGCAGTGTTTGTGCCGATGGTTGGTCACTTTTGGAGGCCAATGTGGTGTGTCGACAACTCGGATTGGGTTATGCCAGTGAGGCCTTTCAAACGGACTTTTTTGGTGGCACGAATGTGTCGAGACCCGTGTTGAGTGGCAGTGAGTGTTATGGCAACGAAACGGAACTGGCTGATTGTTTGCATCACGATGCAAGTCAGGGCATTGTCAGCTGCCATGGCAATCGGCAACATGTGGCCGCCGTGATCTGTGACTATATCGCCCCCGATCTGGTTGTGGATTATCTGGAGATCGAGCAGACGGCCCATCTGGAGGATCGACCCATGCTGCTGATGCAGTGCGCCATGGAGGAGAACTGCGTGGCCAACGAGGCGTATCAGATCCAGCGAGATGATCCCCACTGGCGGTATCGATCGAGGCGGCTGCTCAAGTTCACGGCGGCTGCCATCAACGCGGGCAACGCGGATTTCCGACCGTTTAAGGAGAAGAGCCAGTGGGAGTGGCACATGTGCCATATGTAAGTACAGTGTACAAATTATTTAAAATTTAAAATGTGTTTCTACAAAATTAAAAGTTATATATCTTACAAATAACTTTGTTGAATGTATTTACATAAACCATTGCAAAGTGAATCCTAAAAACCTAAAAATTTAGGACCTGTAAGTTCTTTAAACTGCAATTTCCAAATTTACAATAATTTTATTGATCTGTTGGAAACTAGAAATAGCAAATATCGTAAACTGATTACTTAATTTATGCAGTTTATTAAAGAACTGTTAGTATCGGAATTCTTTATCCAAAATAATCATGAAAAAACTTATTTATAAACTCTTTTTATTAATTAACTTTGAAAAAAGTTTATTAAAAAGCTCACAACTTTTTCAGGCATTTCCACAGCATGGAGGTCTTTGCCACCTTTGACATTTTTGATTTGAGAGGTCACAAAGTTGCCCAAGGACACAAGGCTTCATTCTGCTTGGAGGATAGCAATTGCCTGCCCGGAGTTGCCAGGAAATATAGTTGTGCCAACTATGGAGATCAAGGTAAGTTAATTTTAACCAAAGAGGCTTATAATTTATTTTATTTTAAACCATATTTTAAAAAGGCATTTCAATCAATTGCTCTGATGTATATCTATACAATCTCGACTGCCAATGGGTGGATGTAACAGACCTTAGTCCCGGAACTTATGTCCTCAAGATAGCCATTAATCCGGAATTCAAGGTGGCTGAGATGAACTATGACAACAACGCTGCCATCTGCGATTTGATATACACTGAAAACTTTGCCAGAGTGCAAAACTGCCGGCTGGGAAGACCTTAAAGGTTGCAAGGTTAGAATTTAATTGACGGTGGACTGGAACCAAATCAAAAAGTGCCAAAAACTACGATTAACCAAAGGGAGCTTGTATATTTTGTAAATTTCTATCTTTAACCTTAACTGGTAAGCGAATAAATTAAAAGTGCACATTGTAAAGGTCATTGGATAGACTTGAAAGGCATTGGGGTGTGAATATGTCACCAACATTGAGACAGCTGAAATTTTCGGAATCAACGAACCATATATTAAGTGTCGATAGTAGGGGACTTTTAGAGGCGTTGAAGTGAAACTAGAAGTAATATAAGTCAAAACAAGCAAAAGAATTTTGACGAGGGTGAGTAATTTTGGTGTTGAAACAATTTTTGTGAAGGAATTGAAAATATATAACTAGTAAAGATGCCATTAACCTCCCTTGTTGCAATCATCACAGTTGCTATCTTTTAATAAAAAAAAACTATGTTGGAATTAATCAAAAAAAGTAACAAAAATTTTATAGAAAGAAAAGAACCCAGCCTCTTTCTTCTTCTATTTTTAACCCCTCAACGCCCTTCAACAAATTTCCATCTTTCTGAAAAAGCATTTGGTTATTGATTGCTCAGCTCTTATTGAAGAATCTTTGACAAGCAACTAACCCCACTCATCAATACAGTAGGATGCCGACCCGATGGCTTAACCCCTTCGGTTCTCAGTCAAAAATGTAAATACATTTTCCGTTAAACTAAGTTTCCCAGCCATAACAACAACAAACAACCAAAGGGACTGCTTCTTAAGACAGTCCTCAGATTGATTGATTACGGGAGGAGCTCTTCTTAACTGTGTACATTGAATAACCCCAAAAATTTAATTAACATAAGCGGTTTATGCGGATCTTGGAATGGAGCAAAACAAAAAGCTTTTAATTTGTATTTCGTTTGGAGATTAACAAATCAATCAAAGTGCGAGGAAGGCAGATTTACATCTCCATCCAATAGAGGTGTTAGTCTGTAGGATTGGAACCGGCAATAACTTTCCAGAAAGCACTCAACTATCATCAAATCAGTCAAAGTCCGGTCAAGGGAAGCAAAAAATAAATGATAACCGGGAAAGGGCAGTCAAGTGTTGGAGTTTTTCGTGCTATCAGACACGTGCACACACACGAACCCCCATATTACACATTCGAACACCCCCACCCACCCACGAAAATCTGCGGGTGAGGGAGACAAACAAGCATATAAATAATTGAAATGTTCACTCACTGACCCTGGAACAATACACTAAGAAAAAATCTATACACAAAGAGGTAAAATTTTGAAATGCTGTCAATATTTTTGTTTATTGATATGTCAAAAAATTTGTATAATTATTTATTCTAGAAATATTTTTTTTGAAAAATGGCATGTATGTATTATATATCTATTGTTTTACAATTTTCTTTCATTTTAAATGAAAAAGCTGGAAACTTTCATATGATAATTAAAGTTTGCAAATTTGAAAAAATTTCATTATAAATTGCAAAATCTTTAAACCTACCTCCCATTTTTTCTCACTGCACTCTTATCTATTCGCATTCTCCAGAGACTTATACTTTGGCGAAATTGCAGCACTTTTGTGGGTGGTGCCCGAGAAGTGGGTGGTGCGGATGACCCTTAGTGCCTGGCATTAAGCAATCAAACGTTTGATTTTCATTTATCGTGTAATCAAGCGGAAAAATAGCTTCGTGACCAAAGTGACTCATCATCATCATGCTGTCATGTGTGCACGTGTGTGAGTGTGAGGTCCTTTGGTCCTTTGGTCCTGCTGACTACTTATGGCTGGTGTTGATGACATTACGACCATTTGATTGCCTCACATGCAAGCGACCATCCATCACCAGAGACCAAAAATCTTAGCCCTGGCCTGAAAAAACATTTCTGATAAGAATTGCCGCTCTAAGCCAACATTAATTGGAGTCTCGACTGTGGGATTTTCACCTCGATGTGTAAAGCAATCCCGGTGCTGGCAATTAACCCATTAGTGCACAACCATTCCATTGCCTCTTCAACCTTTTAACCTTTTCCGCTTCATTGGAATATTCAAAAAGCTGCGCATCGAATTAATTGTAATTAAAAATTAAAACGAATTTAACATTTTTAATTATGCAATTTGCTTTTCATAATAATTAAAACAAATGCTTTCCCCCTCCCAAATAAATGGCAATGAATGCGCACACAAATGAGCCAACAAGCAAGCCGTCTCTTTCTGCCGCCATCTCCCCCTCTCTTTTTGCCGCCATCTACCCCTCTCTTTCTGCCGCCATTGCCCCCATCTCTTTCTCAACATCAATGTGTCGCACCAACCATGAAAATGATAACAAGCCAAATGGGCGCCCGAATTCGCCGTGGAAACATTGGGAAATGAATGGAAATGGGAATGGAAGTGGGTGGTGCTATCATCAGTTTGCCGCAAGGACGCTCTATTCTCGTGTGTGCGATGAAAGGTGCTTTCGTAGGGTGGTTGCCTGGCGTCTAATGAGTTTATTCCCAATTAGCCGCATTTAAAATTCAAAATCTTTGCCAAAATTACGGTAGTCAAACAAATAGGAAGCATATAGGATGTCATAAAGGATACTTGAAAATCTAGCGAAAACTGAATGTTTAAAGAGGAAAATAAAGCTGAAAAGGACAGAAACAATTTAAATATTTAATCAAAGGGATAAAGACATATTAAATTTGCCTCCTTTGTGTGTTTTTAACATATTATATATAAAGCTTTACATTATATATTTTCAAAGCAAAATATTTCAGAAGAAGCCTTAGTTACGTAATAAATATTTTACCTAATTGAAAAACTCGCAAGCATTTAAATTCAATTTTCCTATTGCCAATAATAAAACATTTTCACCCCTCTCGCATCAAGAAATTCATTCCCCTTTGGATTACTTCAACACCTTTGCTTGGAAACCACAAAACTTGAACAATTAAATGCGGTTGAACTCGCCGCAACAAAATAAGTGTAAATTCCTGCCGCAAAGGACCAACTTAAACCAAATTTACACTCATAGAAAATTGCTTTAAAAACTGTCATAAAACTGCAAATGGCAAAGGACGATGGCTGGCCAAATGCAATATACAAATGCAATATGGAAGCGAATGTGTGTTCCTTAAACGCTGCACTTTGCCAGCAACAATTTCATTTGTCGTCAGTTGCGGAGCTCGGAATTCCTAGAGTCCGAGGACATCGATTGTCGATTGTTGTTGTTGTTCTTGTTGCTGTTGCTGTTGCTGTTGTTGGTCCTTCATAGGGAGGACTGGGCCATATGTGTGTCACTTTGACCCAGTGCACCACTGCACCACCCAACCACCCCCATTGCACACCATTGCCATGTCGTTTTAGTGAAATTGCACAAAATTGTTTTCCGTTTCGTTTCATTGGATTCGGTTCGCTTCTTTCATTGGAAATGTGCATTTAAAATTTATTGCAGTCACAAGCACAAAATTAACTGCATTTTGGGGCGGAGTGCTGACAATTGAAATAACAATTTGCTGGGAATGAAGTCGCCCAGGATTTCGATTGAATTTGCAACTGACCGAGCAGTTGGTAAACATTTGCCTGTCGGCCAGAAAATTCCAATTGCAGAATGGTGAAATCTTCTTCTCCGGTGATGTGTGCAATTATCGTGTTGCCTTATCGAAAGGCAAGTGAAAGTAAAGAAAATTCCGGCTATCCCTCGTCACCGTCATTAGTATCTAATTCATCTGGCTCAGTGGAAATGTGAAAAATGCGGAGCTGCCTCCGCTTGACATTCCTTTATCAAATCCTTTATCTGCGAAGACTTTCCGCCTTTGATTCCTTGCCGTTGGCAAGTTTCCTGTTCCGACTCTTGATTACACAGCAGAAAACCCCTGACATCCGTACCACTTGACGTATACGTATTTTAAGCTCACACCAAAGTCAAACGCATTGAAATGTGACTACCAGTCACATTCACATTCGCAGTCACAGTTCACTCCTACTACCACACTTGAGAAGGCAAACAGCACCGCAGGGACCCATATATCAAAAATCAACAGCTGCAGAGATGAGGAGCAAAGGCAAAAAAATACAGAAATACAAAATAAAATACGTGGAGGCGACCCCCACTCACATGTGACAAAAGATAAACACAAGAAGAAACATTCTAAAATCAACACAAAAAAAAACCCAATTCTGTAGGGCGGGACTGGTTGGAGTTTGGTGCAAAAAAAACTTTCATGCTGGCGACATTTAAACATGGCAGAGAAGCCGATAAGAATGCAAATGAAACGACAAAGCAGCGCAGTCATCAGAACTGGCGGGGTTGGGGAAAATAGGGGGCAAAAGGGCAGGAAAATGGGTGAAAAATGGGCGGGATTACAACCCCCTAAGGCAGCAGCAGCTGGCATATGAGCGGAGCAATCTTAATTGCGGTTCAAAGGGCAAGCGAGCTGCAAAAAAATACAGGAAATAAAAATCTGAAGGCGAAAAATGGAAATTCAGATACAAAATGTCAAATAAAAAACGGCTGAGATTGCCCGTTGTTAGCAAACACATTTAAAGCTTAAAAATGCGAGATATAAAAGGGATCTATTTTGTAGCATTTTTGTAATGGCAAATAACTATTATATAAGGTATTCAAAAATAAATTTCTGAAAGCACATCAGTATATAATCAAAATGATAGCTAATTAGGTCTAAGAATTAAAAAAATGGGATAAACATTCAATTATGTATTTTTTAGTTAGAGGAAACCTTTACGTAGACACCATCTTTAATATATATTATCAAAGCCAACCCTATTTAAATTTAATAGCGGTATACAGAATGCCAAAAATAGGCAACAAAATTCTGTTTAGGTACTAATTCGGTTTAGATCTCTTCATAATCAACCACAAATCAGCCAACCAACCAACCAGCATAAAAAAGACAACAAAAGTCAACCGCTAAACGGATAGCAGATACAAATCCATCCGAATACAAGTTACACCCGCTTAAGATACAATTTTCGCATTGTTAGGGATACACGGCTGACAAACACAAAAAAAAAAAACAAAAAACGAAAAATGCGGGTAAAATGTGACCAAAATGCTGAAAAGGGGCGATGAAAACCCCGGGAAAAGGGGGCGGGGTCGGCCGAAAAGGAAGAGTCAAACAAGCGAAATGACAAACTCTGCTGGAAACCCACCTTA